CTCACTTGGACAGAGATGAAAGTGGGTGGACTGAATACCAGAAAAGAGCTCTAATTGTATTTATCTTTATTTTGTTACATACACCAGAGAATATGATAACCCCAAAATCTTCGTAAAGGAATTCTATTTAGAGTTTATTAACAAAGAGCTGAGTGACTTCAGAGAGTTTTAACAAGGCACTATAATGAACATAAAGTGCTTACTGGAGACTGAAGGAGGTAAAAATATGACAAAACAAAGGGAGTTTGGACCATTCTCAGCTTCCTTAGAATGAGCCCTTGTTGTTAAAAACAATCATTTGTGTGAGATTTCAACTTTGTGTTGTGTTTGTCCAAGGGTACAGCTAAATCCAATTAAAAAGTAATTCCTTGTGTGGGCACAGTGACCTTCTGCATCCACTACTCAATTACTTTTCAATACCAAGCAGTTTAATAAAGTGTTTCTAAACATGTGTTAAATGTTGCCATGGAATGAATGGATTAGGTGGAAAGGCCACTCTAAAATGGCCTCTGCAGAAAGCAACTGGAATGTAATGAAGCCATAGTTTCAGTTTAAATATTTTGGAGCCATTTCAGAATCAAAATAAATCCAATGTACCATGTAAAGCTGTAGAAAACTATGAGAACTTGGTGCTATACCCTCTAGATTATGCAAGTGTAGCTGCTCCTCTCGCCGTGAAATCTCTAGGGCAATTCAATCGTTTCCTTTTCCATCAATTCAACACCAGAGCAGGCGAGGGCCAATATTCCATCGGTACGCTTGAGATAAACGAGAGCTTTAAACGTAATAAAATTGTAAAAGCAATTACCGACCCACGGCGAAAGTGACTGAAGGAACAATGCAACAATTGGTTTCAAAGGCCGGGGTTTCTCAGAGAAATTATGTACTATAGGTGATTTTCACGACTTCATTAAAAACCCTGTTGCTGAGCAGGGTGACTGAGGACCACTTGCTGCATAACATATACATAACTGCACTACAGAAACCTCATGCAAGCTTAATTCCCCCCCTGCGAAGCAGTAAAGAATTAGTAGAGATTCAAACAGTCAAATACTAAACAGTAATTGTTGATGGAACCTATTAGTGATGATGGTAAGATGAGCCCACTTTGAAATAATCGCTCAAAGTCAAATGAAAACAAATTGAATGTGATTTAATGGACTGAATTTCAAGCACGCGCCATCTTATTTAGCAATGTGGGGAAATAGAGTTGTAAATATCTAGCAATAAGGGGTATCCCTCATATGAGTTTGTAGACTCACTTCAGTCAGGTCACAAGAGCATGAAGATGTGAAAAATGAGTCCTCTCATTTGTCACATATATTCACAATAATGCCACCACAAAGGCAGATTCATGCATACATGTCTGATAATATTTCCCCACGGTGTTTTACTTTCAAAAGAGCACTTTCTCTGCATCACGGCCCTGCTGCCATGGAGTGTTTGTACTACAGGCATATACATTTGATTCGTCTTCAAATGTATAATTTCCAATTGAATGTGTGGGAGTAATCAGTATGCCAGTGACGTCTCTTCTGTCACAACCCTAAGGAAGCCTTCTGAAACATTTTTTATGATGAGCAACGACTAAACAAAGGAGCGTTGTTCGTTTCAAAGTGAAGGAACTGTCTGAAGTTAACTCAGGAGGAAAAGACCTGAATGTAATGCACAGGGAACACGACTGTGACTCATCCATTCTTCAGACTCAAGCCTTCATTTGAGCATTTCGAGGGAGTTGGGTAATAACCACATTTTGATCTTTGTTTTCCTAAGGCCAAGTGGAAGGATATATTACTGTGAGTACATCACAGAGAAATGTAGAACCACATTCAGTCGGGAGGAACATGTGAGGGTCAATCTTGGATTTAACAGAGGCCAAAGGAAGGGCTCTGCACAGGCATCTCAAAGAAAATCAAGCACAAGTTGGTGCTACAGCTTTGCTCTAAATTCTGGATTTAAAAAAAAAGGGGAGATGTGACATGTGACTTCATTGTTCTTTCAACAGAAAGACAAGCTGAGACAGAGTGGATCTGTAGATGATCAATTTTGTTTCTGGGTTGTGCTTCCAGATTCTTCAGAGGGACAGGAAGTAAACCTTCTACCAAAAAAAGAGACACAAAAAAAAAACTGTTTTTACGTGTATGGTTGGCTGTCTAGGGCCAAGAAAGGGAGGAAAGATTTTGGGGGCAGATTGAACAGAATTCCAAACACACACACACGAACATGCATTGTCTCACTCACTTATTCACATAAATTCTCTCCACACCCTTACTAAGTGCTTTTTTCAGGAGCTCTAGCTACCTTTTGACCTCTTCTTCACACACAGCTGCCTCAGTAAGCAGAATTTCATCCATGCTACGAAAAAGAAAGAAAAAAAAAAAAAGAAGAAAAAGAAAAAGAAAAAAAATCAAGCTCAGAAAAAAATGATGGTGTGTGTCTCCAACCCAGACTTCAAAAATCTGAATTTCTTAATTCAGCCTAAGCGAAAAAAAACGCAGGGCCTCAGATTAAACCCTTTGGCAGCCTCTGGAGCAGATAGTCGAGGAAAAAAAAAAAAAGAAAACTTTTCCAATTAATCGCTGTAGAAATCAAGCAGCATCACAAAACGAAAAAGCAATAAAAAACCAACAGAAGAAGAAGAGGAGGATGAATTTAAACAGCCCAGAGTGTCTCTCTTTTACTCTCGCAGAACAACACGCGCTCGTCTGCCATCTGTCAGCCGGCACCGATAGATCTCTGTTAGCTACAGGTACTTCTCATGACTTAAAGTTGACCATAAAATTCCCTTTGGGTTTAGGCGGTGGGCGGTGAGAAGTCATCACAGCTTTTGCCTCCAGCAGTTCTCCTGCTGGCTGCAGGTTCAGATTGAAGCTTTTCATCAGGCCATGGAAAATGATCCAGAAACCATGTAAAGTTACAAAAGCAATTTTTGTGGACCTTCGATAAAGTTTATTTCTTCATGTGGTTTCTTTTTTTTCTTTTTTTCTTTTTTTTTCCTGCAGGGAAAAGCCTCAGCCACTGGAGATGTGTCTTGAAGGTATTTCAGCAAATAAAATGCCCTCTGCTCGAGGAACTACAAATGTCCTCTGTTGGCAGGCAGGCGAGGATGGGGTGCATTTCTCCTTCCCGAGCTGAATTAAGGAATGGAACAACAAAGAAGGATGTAGGAGGACAGATATGGTAGAGTAGGTGCATGAGTCAGAAGGGAAGTTAAAAGAAATTGAAAATGAAAAGAAAAAGAGTGGGAAATTCAGATGAAAGGGAAACAGAAAAGATTCAAATAAGCCATATTGAGAATGATAGTGAAGGAAATAAGAAAACAGAGAAGATTTAAGCTGTAACACTGCTCTCATTTATTATTATTATCATTACTATTATCGTTATTATTATTATAGTAAATAAATCAGCCGGAGAAAAAGAATCCCAAATGGTGCAAGGACTTTCAGTTTCTGATTATCCACTGGTTATTACCTTTGGAAGAAGCAGTTGCTATACAGCTGTGCACACTGTGCTGACTGTGAACTCTGTCTCATTGGCCATGATGTCGGTGGGCTGAATGTTGCGGTCATACATTGGATTTTCAAATGTAGCACGTCCGTTGGTGTTTTCGTGGCCCACATAGCCATTGAAGGGAACTTTGGGTCTTCTCCTATAATCAAACCAGTATTTTGATTTATGATCGTGGTTCACATACAGAGTGGGGGGCACTTAATTCATTATGCAGCACATAAACAAGTCATCTGGTAAAAAGATGAATTTTTTGCCTCTTGAACTGAATGTAGAGCATGCACACCATGTTGCGATACGAAACGAGCCGACTTTACCTGTGTTTATAGAGGTACAGAGCGAAGCCTGCGATAATCATGGCTATAAAAGGCACTAAGATGGCTGCTGCCACTGAACTGCTGTTGGAGGCAAAGTTGTAGCCGGGGTTGTCTCTGCTGGGATCTAAGCTCTCTGGAGGAAAAACGGGGAAAACATAAAGCCATTCATTTCTAATATCATCAGTATTTTACTTCTAAAGCAACTGTTATATTGAACGTCATAACAACCATTTAAAAAAAAAAAGTATTGTAATCTTTATTTTTCTCAGTCTGTCTAAATGTGATCTTCCTTTTCTTCTGCCGAGAAGGATAGGCGACATATCCAGACAATTGGATGGGAAAACGATAAAACATAATAATTTGCAATAGCTGAAGAGGAATCACAAAAATGTTCCATTTATGCTCTTTGGCGTGAGCAGCTTATTACTTTTCTAAGTGCATTTCTATGTGTTAATTTCATTTCACCCCACGGGAATGTCAAATTCCATTATCCCAACAATGACTCTTAATTACAGGCATCAAAGGCCTGCAGCTATTAACTCATTTTAGATGCGTCCTCTAATTTATGAAGGTGTGTGTCTGCAAAACCAACGGTGGAGGAGTGACAGCCCACCTGTTTGCCAGAGAATGCCAAAAAAGCTCCAATAAAGGACGAGTGACAAACAAGATGGAATTCAATTAGTGGGGCTGTGTGGTGTTTGCCAATCAGCCGCCTGCTCCACAGGCATGTGCACACAAACAGACGCACACTAAAGACACACTAAAGCCTGCACACTGCACACGTAGTTATGCCACTGAACTAAAGAAAAACATGAAATGTTGACAAATTAAGCAGGATTATTTCCAAGATGCCCAGCCCACCTTCACGACTCAGATCGGGAATTTCTCATGCACACTTAAACACATGAACACAAATACAGCCTGGCATCAGTCCCAGCCCGGTGCATTAGTAAAGAGCTGTTTGCTAAATCACAGCGAGCTGCAACAAGGTGATGGGAGGGTACACCTGCTGTTCAAGCACCTTTCTCATTACAGCAGACATTCGCATCTACTTTCACTGTGCATACAAATACTTAATCTTCATTAACACCGTTTACCTTATGCTACATTTTTAAATTTCCTCTCATATCTGCCCTGTCTTTGCAACCACATTTTAGTTCGTGAAATGTGTCACACCAAGCGGTTTTTGAGAAAAGACAGACATACGATGAATATCAGTGGCATAAGCTATTGAGGTTTTTTATCCATTAAACCTAAAATGGCGCTTGACACTTTATGGAAGATGAAACAGACTGCTAAGGACTTCAGTCGCAAGCTTAATGTTTTGCAGATAGTGAGCTGGTGAAAAGGGAAACATGTACATGCTGAATTAAAGACTTTGTGAATAACCATTTTCAAAAAAAGCTAGGTAAAATGTCAAACGTGAGTGTATATTTGTTTAATTTTAGCTCCAAAAAGTCAGGATAAGGTGAGGTTTTGCAGAAGTCTTAAGCCTTACAAAAAATTAATAATTACTAAGATTGTAATTTCTAAATCAGAAGCATTGAGAATAACATAATTAGGAAAAAATACAAAATAGCAAAGACCGCATAGCTATAGTTACTTTTGGAACAAATGGCTTCACCTCAACAGTCTGTAAAAGTGTTTTCAGATTTTGAAAAGGAAATTAATTTCAAACGCAATTCACTGTTATGCATACTGTAAAACCACCCAAACCAAGGTATATCTCAGCCATGTCATAACACGTGTGCAGCCCTCATTTGTTCACAAGTCTCCATGACAAAACACTGTTCACTTACCCAGTCTCTGAAGACCAAATTGACCAAAGCCTTTTCCTCTGACAAATCCCTGGTACACAAAAGAATTGGATGCAGAGATGTAGGATACCTAGGATGAGAAGAATTGAGGAGAGAAACTTTATATGTCACAAAAAGGGAATATTACAGAAGTGTCAGCAAGTGGAGCATGCAAAAAAAATATGTCAAAAAGAGCGGCAAGATGCCGTCATGGCTGGCATTTCATGTGATGTTCCTCTGCTAAACAGTACAACTACACTGTGCACACACACACACACATGATTGTCAAACAAGAGGAAGTCCTTAAAACACTTATGAACATATCTTCAAAGTAAACAAGCAAACACAATATCATACGTTGACCTGTGTTTTTTTTTCTTTTATTAAATAAGGAGTACATGGATTGGAGGTGGGTGGCCAGGGTTTGGGAGATATTCTTTTAGAGAGCAGCGAAAGGGGTCTGTGGAGTCCTGATTACCAAGCAATGATTTAACTGACATTTTAATTAAAGAGAAAACTCTTGGTGGGCCCTCCATCTCCCCGGAGTGACAAGATTAGTGTGTTTGTGTGCTCGTGTATTTCATATTGAAGATGTGTATGTGCTCACACACAACTCTAGTACTTACATGACCATCCAGGGCCCAGTTGTCTATTCTAAACTTGTTGACAAAGATCTCCACGGGACCTCTGATCTGGTGAACCTGAAGCAGCAGCTGGGCTTCCTCTCTTTTATAGGTTCCTACAAAAACAACAACAACAAAACTCACTGTAACATCCCCTTTGTGTTAAAGCACAGATCCTTACACAATTGAAAACTGTGAGAGAAGCGGTGTTTTTCTCTCTGCATTAGTGGGACAGATGTGGACAGATAGTGAAAGGACAGAACTCAGTGTGAATCATCAATGTGAACACAACTCAGTATAATACCTATGAAATGATTTTGATAAAACCTTAACCAGATAACCCTTTTGTAGAAGAAGGTCTGTTGCACAGAGCTGGTGAATACACAGAGAAAACTTTAACAGTGCACATTTGTCATCTTTTCAGTCCAATTCTAAAACTTTGCAGGGGTTATCTTTTACCAGACTTCTCTTTTAAGTAGCTATTAAAGGGTTTAGTTAGGAATAATTTTCAAGGAAGAGTAATTGTTAACACCACGTTTGAATAGTTTTGAGTCGATTAAGGAGCACAAAAAATGACCTCACATTTAAAACATTTGTATTAGATTTGTAAAGCACTGGGAAGTCTTTCTTTTATTTTTCAATAAATACAATCTTAACCACATAGGAATCTGAAAGTATGAAACACCACACTTTTATTGTTGCTCTTAAAATCCAGGAACTTGATTATCACAGCCGCATCCTAATTATGTTAAAAGGTTTTATGGTATGGCTATCTACTTTTGTTTATATACAAAAATGCATATATGGTGGTCTGAAATAAATATTTGATTTCTTTTGTGTGTTTTTCTTCTGAGAATTACCTACCTGCCAGTTTAAGTTCAACCCCACTGTGGTCGATAAGTGTCCCGTTGACTCGGTTGCTAAAGGATTCAAAGGCAGTGATGCTCAGCATAGCAGGCTGCTTCTTTCCAAGATACTCATAAGACCCCCTCCAGAGGGAGTTCTTAGCAAAGACACCACCAGGGACTGCCAGACAAAAATGTAAAGATTAGTTTAAGAAAATATTGTGTTTTAATTTTTAAAAAGAATTTATTGATCACTGAAATTAGCAAAATTCTAATGAATGACACAACACAATTCAGGTTTACATAAATATTTCACAACATAACACTGTGAATTACAGACTGAAGAGAATTGCATGTGGAAAGGAGATTGATATCTTACAACATAGATTAATATAAATCTATGAATGTAGTGCGGTAAGAAAATATTTATTTTTATGAGATTCTTCAATTAAATAATCAAATAATTTATTTCTCTTACCTGGCAGTTTGGAGGGTGGCTCCTGCACTGTCCCCACAGGGCTTTTCCCACTTGGACGATTATCAGCTTGAAAAAAAAAAATAGGAAAGCACAAAATGAACAGGATGCTTAGGAGGTTAATAATGTCTGAGTGCAGTATGCTAACCAGGAAGTAAAAAAAACCCCACAGGAATCTGCACTTCCTAACAGCAACTGATCTTTAGGGATGTCACCACCAGCCCCTCCTGTATACAACCATAAACCCTTTTGGTGGTTGGAATGAAAGCCGCATATGGCTGGACTTTACTTGTGTGTTGAAAAACAAAACAAAGTATCCCCTGATAGGGCAGCGCTTAATCTAAGGCATGGTATCCCAGCTTCAATAGAGACACGTTAATAATGCCTTACAGCTCACACAGGGCACAGGACGAGATCACAGTAGTAAACATACACCCACACAGGTAAACATACAGAGGGAGGCTTTACTCAGAACTGCAAACAAAGACAGTTATATTGTTTGTGGTTTATGAGCAGAAAAAGCATCTCGGATAAAGGCGCACACGCTCTCACGGCATTTTATTTTATTCACTGTCAGTCTCCTGAGCTGCCCTTCCATCACGGCGCCCACAGGCACTGTTAATGTCCTGTCTGTGCTAAGGCCAGTTCTCTCTCCTGTCTTCACTCTTAATGGCATGGCTTTAAAAAAAATACCCATCACCCTGTATATTTCAGCAGCGGCTTGACAAGGAATCTATTACGTGAATATCCGCCTCTAATACATCTTTCTTTTGCAGTCATTAGCATTCTGCTGCCCTTGATAATTGCGTGGCAATTACTCCATGTTTTTTTTTTCTTCTATATGTACTTAGGTTAGTGATTTGGGAAGTCTTAATGGCAGTCTCTTTGTATGCTACACCTTGTTAACAATGCCTTGCCATTTATAAGAGGTACTTCTGCAAAGCTAATCAATGGGAAGCATTGGCCTAATCAAGTTTTGCACCCTTGTTAATGTTTCAAAGCTTGCAGATTTGTGGCGTGCGTGTATGACTGTGCGTACTTCCTGCCAGCATAATTGTATGATGGATGGTCCATACCACCGTGACGTGTCTGAGAGTAAGCAATTGTTAAAGACCTATTCATCAACATTAACTGGATCTCCAGATTCCAAACATATGTCACTATTGCAAAGATGATGTATAGATCTGGATTTTAATAAATTGTGATAACAAAAACTGCACGTGATGAATGCAGTAGTACGTGTAGGTTTATTTTACACAAAGGGTCGGTACAGTAAATACAAACTGCGATTCCAAAAGGCGTGAAGCTGGAACGTGTTGAAGGCATCAAAGCCAAATGAGTGAATATTTTTAAAATAAAAAAGTCGATCAGCTTTAACATTAAATTACTTGTCTTAGTAGTGTATGGAATTGAAAATATGTTAAATTACGTTTCCAAATCATTGTGTTATGTTTAAATTTCCGTTTTACACAATGTTGTATTACAGTTTCTTTTAATGTCTTATTGTCTCAGTAGAAAAAGCTAATCAGAAGGTCTTTCCCAGTTGAATTAAAGCAGATCAATTGTTTTTGCAGACAACAAAACCTCCATTGTTACCATAAAGGGCTTAAAAATTTAAATCTCTTTTAATGTACATTGTATGAAAGACTTTTCCCCCCACAAGTCTTTTTAGTTCCATGTCCTGTTTTTACAATTCCTTCTGCACTTCTGCATAGTTATTGAGGTGGGCTGTTATTTTTTCAGTCAGTGAAAGAACCAGTGGCAGTACACAGCCTGCACTTGGATCCTGCACCTTCATTTGATTGACTGGTAGCAAACAAGCGGATCAAACCAGATTTATTTGAAGAACAGCCCACATCATAAATAGGAAGAAATGCATAAGGAAAAAATGAAAAGGACACAGAGAAATGTAAAGAGAAAAAGTGGTTATGAGAAGATTTGTGAAAAAAAAACAAGTTAGAAAATTCAAGTAACAAAAATGCATCCATAAATAAAAAAACAGTAAAAAAAAAACATATATTATTAAAAATGCTAAGAAAAAAAGTGAAGGTGTGTGTGTTTCGTCATGATTATACCTGCACATAGTGGTGGTTTTCCTGACCAGCTACCATCGGACCTGCAGGTTCTGTGTTCTGATCCTCCAGCCAAGTAGAAGCCAGACTGACATGTATAGATGAGCGTGTAGCCAAGGGACGGCAGTTCAATGGATCTTACATCAGACTGGCCTGGCAGCTCTGGCTGGCTGCAATGGTGGGCTGGAGAGAGAAGAGGGGCGAATCATACCATCAAGATCACAAGGATTGAATTTGAGGGGAAAAAAAGTAATTGGACAGAAGACAAAATTAAAAGGGATAACAGTGAGAAGAGAGGCAGAATTGAAATATACAGCCAAGACAGAGATGATTAGTGCACCAGAGTATTTATAAAGATCAGGTTCTGAGTAATCAAAAGCTTTAGTCGTGAAAATATTCCTAAAGCTTTTTTTGTTTTATTCAAAGTAACTTTGAATTGTGGACTTGCCTATGCACTCTGGTTGAAATCCACTCCAGGTCAGGTTGGGCAGACATGTTCGTGAAATGGAGCCCTGCAGTAAGTAGCCTTTTCTGCAGCTGAAGAACACGGTGCTGCTGATCTGAAACAGAGTACACATGAAAATGAGAAGCAGCTAATGCTTTACATAAAGAGTTAAGAGTTTTATACACAAAATGTGCATTTTAGTGATTGCCAAATGGCTGCGATGTTCCAAAATAGCTATTTTAAAATGAAAACTGCACGTAATTAACATTTTTAGGAACAACCTGCGGAATGTGAATATAATAATAAAACCGCACTACTGCAGGATTATCATCTACATCGTGTCAGAGGACATTCTTTAGACAAGTCTAGATGTACATATTTTTCCAGACATTTTCCATTTGGCACATGAGAAAAAATGGAAAACATTACTCATAAAATATAATTCAAGGTTGACTTCCAAACTGCAGTCCATGTGGGTAGAAATGCTGCTAAATAATAAAGTATTGAGGTAACTGAAAGATCCTTTTTGAGGTTTAATTGGACCTGTGTGACACTGTTTTCATACTTGGTAGCCTTGACTGTTGTTCTGATTTCCAAAGAGAGGGGTACCAGGATCTCCACAAGAAGTGTGACTGGGATCTAAAAAAGAAAGAAAATTCTTTGATATTACTCAAAATGAAGCATTGCTGTGCAATAATTTAAGTGATTTTTTTTTCAAATTTCTTCAGAGGATTGTCAGTCATTGTAAATTTTCAAGCTGAGCAAAAAGGCTCATGGTTTTACAGAAAGAATAATCAACATCTGAGACATAGGTCTCAGTGATATTGCTTAAATATTAGTTACAGTTCATTCATATTCAACACAAATTCAATTAAGTTTGCTAAAACAAAGTGGCTTATAGTGATTCAACAAAAAACATTTTATGAGACAAAGGATTACATGTGGGCCTTTTCCATAGCACCAAACGACTCTGGGGATGAATACATTTCCAATATCATCAGTTCCATTCTGACTGCATTAGGATATCTCTATGAAGACTTTCAATTGAAGTCAAATCTGATACCTTATGGATGTTAGATGACATTATTCTTCCTTGTTAAAGGGTGCTTAAGAGATATTTATGGCAGCACAGAAGTTGACATGTTTTGTGGCACTGTTCCAAAATAACTGTAATATTTGGTTCTGGGCCAATTTTTTTTGCAAGCATTTTCTTAGAGTACGCCCCTGCTTACAAATAATAATTACAATTGATCAATAAAGTTGATTTAATTAGTTATTTTCAAGTTGCAGCTAAATTTGGGAGTGTTGTAAAGGTCAAAGATAATCCAATGTGGGGTCATAAGCATGGTGTTTGTTTTAGACAGAGATGTCAAAATTATCATGAGTAAATGATGATGCTGATCCCATTCATTTTTGTACTTTTTTTTACAATCCATTTCTTTAATAAAGTAACAGGTTCATGGTGCTTTATTAATCTTATACTGCAGTGAACAAAGCTTCGTTTGAACCAAGCTCATGTAAAGATTATTTTGATTTGATAATAGAAGTGCAAAATTGGAAAAGAGAAATTACTGTAAGTAGGTGGTGAGGCAAAATGTTTTTTCCTGGCTTTAAATGTAAGCTGCAAATGGTAATCGGGACTAAAAAATAAGCACACCGTAACATTCAGTCAACGGGGGAGCTTTGTTCACAATGGCACTAGTGTCATATTCAAGTATGAGTGCTGTGTTTTAAATCCACTTGTTTTCATGACACATTCCAACTACCACACCACTCTGACTGTATTATTACACAAAAACTCTAATCATGTCATACGGTAATGTTTGCCCTTACAATAAATTGAGGAATAAATTAGTAGCCTACCTATACAGGAAGGTTGTGTGCCACTCCAGGTGCCATCATACTGACAGTATCTCCTGGCTGAGCCGACCAGGATGAGTGGAGAATTGCAGGAGAAAGAGACAGATGAGAGATAGGTGAAGCCACGGTCCTCCCTCCTGCCCATGGCCGGTATTCCCGGGTCTCCACAGAACACAGCTGTAAAGCAGCGCCAAGGAGAATGGCGAGAGGTAAAAAAAAAAAAAAGACAAAAGATCAGCACATGCTGGGTTTTAACTGGATTTTCTAGTGGGCAAGCTGCATCCCCGAAAAGAATTTGAATGCTACAGACACTTAGAGGAAAGAGTGTAAAAGACGAGTCGAGGTGTGTAATGTAATTAGGCTTTCAGAGGGGAGGCCACTTACGGAAGCACTGTGGTTTCTCTCCGCTCCAGTTACCGTTGCCTTGGCACGTTAAAACAGTGGGCAGGGACAGCTGGTAGCCTTGGTTACAGGAGTAGCTTATGCTGGAACCCCAGGTGAAGTCCATACCGATGACCTGTCCATTAGGGATGGTAGGAGGTGCGCCACAAACAATTGCTACATGGAAAAAAGGGTGATATTCAGTAAGGTAATTTACTCATGTCAGTTTGCTGAAAGTCATGACCAAAGCAGAGCCATGTAATGTAAAAAAAACATTAAACACACCACAATAAAGCTTCATAATTAGTTTTTTGTTACAAATGATGTTGAGGGAAAACTATGGATTTGTTTTGTGTTGTCTGTTTTTTTATGTTTCATGACAGAAAACTCAAAGAAATATGACAGAAACCGCACAACAAAAGAAATGAAAAACAATTAGAAAGAGAACCCAGTGTTTGTGACTGAGCTGTTAGTAAAACAGACTGAAGGAAATGGGATTTACATCGAGACATGACAAATGTAAAACCTCACTTCCACCTAATAGAAGAAAACAAGGTTACAGTTAGCAAAAGAGAATTGGCCATGAACTGCTGATGAACAGATGAAAGAGATATTCAGGGATGAATCACCAGCTTGCATTAGGTTAGGAGTTACGACACTGGTGCACTTCCAAAGAAACATACAAATGCGAGAAAACTGAAGAAAATAAACAGATTTTTCAGAATCATTGTTGACTTTGGGTTGGTGTGACATAAAGGATCAGGGAAGACTGCAGCCATAACCTACACAGTAAATGCACTGGTGTACACTGAAATTGTAAACCGTTTTCTCATTCCATCAATCAAAAGGAGGTCTGGTGATGCTAAACTCATTCTTCATGGAGAATATGATGGATTTTGCTGCAGAGCAAAGAGCATTCAGACTTTTCTTCAGAAAAACTTATCAACCACAGTACTTGGCCAGCAAGTCCTACTGAGAATTTAAGGTGAAGAAGGAAGAAGACATTCAGAACTTTACTGAAGTGCCCATGGATCAAATACCTTTAGCAGTCTGAAGCCAGTGAAGGGATTTTTTGGTGAGTTGTTATTCCATCATTTTCTAACAGTAAAGTAAATCCATTTGTTTTGTTTAGTTCAGCTTTTTCATTTAATTTTTTTACTGTCATTTTCTAAGTATTGATAATGTATCTGTTTATAATTAAAAGGAAAAAAAGCTGACCGAACACCTTCAGTGTGCAGCGATTCTGTCATTTTATCTACGAGTTGAATTTGCACGAGTCATCAAATCCTTCTTACCTTTACACAGAGGTTTGGTCCCATTCCAGGTGCGATCCTTGGTGCAGATGAGAGAAGAAGCTCTGTCGGCATCCATGCTGAATCCAGGGGAACACTGGAAACTAACGGTGCGGTTGTACGTAAAATCGCCCCCAAATCTCACTCCATTGGCTGGCACTCCGGGATCACCACAGTTGATGACTGCAGTAACAAAATGGAATAGATCATCAATAGTAAAGATAATTGTGCTGAAAAGACAGGAATTAGCAGACTATTTAAGCAGTTGATAAAACTCTTTGAGATAACACATGTGAGTAAGTGTTCATACTCTGTAACAGTTTTCTTTGACATTAACTCTCTTTGTATTTGGATTGTTTAATGTAGGCAATCAAGACCCCACAGAGAAACAGTTTTCTTTGACAATACTTTTATAGAACACAGGCAAACGGCTTCAGTGACTAACAATTGTAACAAATTGTTACATTGTTATTATTACAAACATTGTTGGACTACACAGCATTGTGACTAAGTTTTGCTATAAATGTCTGAGTAGGAAACTTCAGTGCACCAAGGTACCTTTGGGACAGTGAAGCTCTGTTAAACGTGTACATCGAGCATGTTAAAACTCTAAGCAGGGTGAGGAAACTCAGCCTCTAAGAAATACAGAGTATCTCCCCTCGACTGAGCAGCACTTAGATTTCCCATCAGGCAAGTAAGACCATGCTTCTGTAACCACAATGACTGAAGGACCTAACCTTACCCACAGCATCGAAATACACAGTTGCTTTCTCCTGGCATACCAACATTATTAGATTATTACTTGTGAAGAGTCAACTATTGTTAGAATAAATCTTAGTTTCAATGAATTTAGTTTAAGTAAAAAAAACAATTTGGCCAAACTCATTAATTATAGTGTTATTGTATGTCAAAAATGGAATGTCAAAATAGATAACCAAGTTCTGAGATCAATTATAGTGCTACCTGTAACTTAATACTTTTTAAAGAAAGACATTTATTCTAAAGCCTGTTTCCATCCTAAGTAATTTACACAATGTTTATGCTTCTTTACATTCCATTTAGAAAATCTAATTTATTACTTAATATAACCTGTTTTGCTTAGCTTTTTCTTTCTTTGCTTGTTTTTTATAAATTAGATATTTCTTGCATCTACATGATAAAGTATGAAAATGGCAATAAAAGTAATAAGTAACTGCACTTGACGTCTGGTAAGAATATTAACAGAAAGACCGTGTCATAATGGTTGGTCCTCTGACAATGGTTACTTGCCTGAACACTCTGGCATGTTGCCTGTCCAGGTCCCATTCACAGTACAATGCCTGGTAAGCAGTCCAGTCGAGTAGTAACCCTCCCTACAGCTGTATGTGATGGATCTGGAAAACGTTAGGCCATCGTGAACGAGGATCTGGGCGTTTCGTGGCGTTCCTGGATTTCCGCAGGAAATCACTGGAAACAGAAAAGAAAGAGAAAGGTCAGAGGAGAGAGTTAGTGAGTTATTGTTTTAATCAGATAAAAGGTGAAGGCTTAATGAGACTTGGTGGGTTCGTTTATACAGGTCGGTTGCACATATCAAGCCAACTTTTCGTCAATCTTTTGCAAGCATGTTTTGCAGTTTTTCTTGGTATTGCTCTGCTTACCTAATCTAGAAAATTTGGCTTTGGGGGGGGGCTTACTCCCGAACAGGTTTTACAGTGTCATGCCTACACATTTTTAATGACTTGCATTGAACAACCATCATGTTTACCAATCGTATAATTCTACATCTGCAATTGACTTGCTTTCCCAATTTGCTTTGTTTTTTTTAACCACCCAGGACCACCACCCTTGTGTTCCTGTGTGTCCTCCTTCATAAAGTAACTCTGCTTTGATGGACACATCCTTTGCACAGAAAATCCCTTGGTGTTTGTCCAGCCGCTAGCAATGGTTCTGTTCATTACAGTTTCCAGCTTGCCCAAGGCCCTCGGAGCCCTGTGGGCATCATCCTCCCATAATGACCAGATGTAGCCTGGCCCTTGATGTCTGTGCCAACTGAGAACAGGTGGGCAACCTTAGCTACTGGGCATACCGCACACATGAGAACAGGAAAAGTTGTGGAGTGAGATTAGAAGGGATGAGTGTGTGTTTAGACTAATATTAACTGCACAAGTGGACATTGGATGATGCTTAGGGAAATAAAATATGTCATACTGGCTGGAGTTTAATGTTAATGTCAGAAGAAAGAACTGGGCAGGGATAAAATAAAAAACCTCAGAACATTAGCTTTAAAGGCTGGTAAACCACAGTTATCATGGTTTCTGTCAATAAAGTGAGCATGGTGTTAATTTAAAACACAAAATTAAACAGAGATGGCGAATCGACTATCATTTAAGTTAATATAAAATTATCAGTTAGGACAATGCAGGAAAAAGGGCTATCCTGAATCTCTAGACCATACACAAATATATAAGTACATGAAAAAAACATAATGCTAATGAATCTTATGAAAGGAAGTACAAGAGTCAAAACTACAAAAAACAAAAAAAGACTGTATGTTTGATGTTGATGTTAAAACTATGTAGTCCATCATTCTTTAGGTGTGGATTGCAGTAGTAATTCAATTAGTTGTGAGATAAACACGGCCAGGGTGTTTGCTGGACATGCCCAGAGGGAGCTTTTTTATTTCAAGCTCTTCCTTCACAGTTATGGTAGTCAACATAAGATCATACTGAGAGGTGATAACTCAACTTTCAAACAGTGAGTTAAGTGAGGGGCACAAAATAAATGCGTATATGTATTCATTACCGTGACACTCGGGTTGTTTGCCCAGCCAAGACCCATTGGACAGACAAGTTCTCTCAGGTGAGCCCTTTAACACGTAGCCAGGCTCGCAGCTAAAGCGGACCACACTGCCAACTGTAAACTCTTCTCCCAGACGGATACCATGCACAGGAACACCTGGATCTCCACACATCCCAGAAGATTCCCCTGAAGAGACAACAAAAAAAATGCACATTTAAAAATGTGACCAGTGAGGAAGAAAATCTATCATCCATCACAACATTCATCAGAAACTGTACTCTGCATGTTTGTGATGTTTGGCAGTCTTAACTGTGTAATATGAATCGAAATATTGACTGAAATACCTTCCATTGGCCACCCAACAACAAAATCATATTTCCTTCTGTCCCAAAGGAGCGACTAGCTTACCAAACATATTCTCACTATATTCATTCAAACTGCTGCAAATGTGCAAAACGATTTGGCTTTTAATCCACAGCCCACATTTGAATGTTCTACCTCAATTGAAAACAATCACATAAAACATTTAGTGCTGTCTGCACTCCACTCGCTTCTCATTTCAAAAGGCAACTGTCAACGTGATTTTTATAGCGCATGACTCAGAAAATTCAGGCAAATCTGAGAAAAAAAAGCTGTGTTTATTGCCTGATGAGAGAGGACACAGGCAATTCGCTGGATGAGCGTGACTGTCATGAGTTATGATATTAAACTGTCAGGGATCCACTTTATAGTCACACCACTTGTATATATGTGCCTTTTATTGTGGGGTCCTCCGTCATTGATGATGTTTGTTGTACTCTTCTCTGTTGTGTTTTTGTGTGTAGTCATTTGCATGTGCGGCCTTCCTCACAGATCTCCTGCAGGTGAGGTTGTCATTGGAGCGCTGAAGCAAATTGCCGGAGGAGGAGGGTGGCGGCCGGTGTCTTTATATTGCTTCGTAACGCAGCTGAGGTGCGTGAGCATTGATGTTCCTCAGTCTAATGCGAGCAGATTAAAACAGTTTTATGGAGGACACTCTCTTTGCCCTTGGTGCCTGTGGAGCAGACTGCTAACTCCTTCTTTGGTCCACCTACTTTGCTTATTACCTGCAAACACCTGCCACCCCAAAGGTCTTTATTTACTGGCCCGAGGCATTGGTGTGACTGGGCGTTTCTGTCACATCTAAATCAATTAAGCATTGGAAGTAATAAAAGCGGCGATGACAGAGGAGGATGTCAAGGTTGGTCTGTGACTAAATGAGATGATTGCATTGCATCTTCTTTTATTTGTGCTGATCCTAAATTAGTTCTGGGCTTTGGACTGTGAACCGACACTGCGGGGGCGACCGGTCAGTCTGGGTGTAGTTTTCCATACCGGAGCAGTGTGGCGGCGAGCCGCTCCACTGTCCGTCCAGCTGGCACATTCGTGTGGTGTTGCCAATGATGGTGCGCTGGCCCATGCAGCTGTAGCGGATGACCGAGCCGACCGTCCGACGGTCACCTGAGACCTGCGCGTAAGGAGGGACGCTGGGGCGGTCACAGAGCAACACTGTCCAATCAGGAAAGAGAAACGAGAGAGCATGTTCTAAATAGAGCACCGGATGTATGTACTGGGTGAAAATAAGAGAAGAGAAAAGATTTATTAATAACAGTTGTGCAAAATGTGAACGTTTTAAGCTTTTCTCTGTGATGAGCACAGACCATTGCATTGTATTTGAACTTTCTTTTTAAGAGTTTAAGGAATAAAATAACACGCCATCACTCACAAGCAACCTCTGATGTTACTTACACAGGCATTTGGGCAAGGAGCGGTCCCAGGTGGCGTCTCCTTGGCAGGAGACGGAGCTGGTGCCCAGCAGGTAGTAGCCTGGGTTACAGCGGTATGACACCGTTGTCTGGAAGCTGTAGCGATGTGGCCCGCTGGGCAGTACCTGCCTGATGCTGTTCTCTACATGACCTGGTTCAGTGCAGTTCACAACTGCAGAGAAGAATGCAGGTAAGGAAAGAAAAAAAAAAGATAAGAAAAACAACATATTGTAAAAGCAGTTCTTTGACAACGCTTATTCGATATCCATATACATGTTCAAGTCCTAATAAAATGTCAGGCACTCTCTGGAAATAAACATCGGCTTCACAAAGGGCAGTTTCCTGTTAGTGGTTGTGGTGTGGAGACGCTGATGGGCGGAAAGCTTAAAGAGACGATCCATGTCAGTTCAGCAGTAGATGGAGAATTAGGGAAAGGGAAATGGAAATGCAGTCAGGGATGAAAGGGCCCTGATAATGAGGAATAACATTTGGACTGAGATCCTCTATCAACTCCTATTTTTTTGCACAAACATTTACCTCAACAGAGTCAGAATTGTTGTCTAGCCTATACTGCTAACTGCACCTGTGCATATATAATGACATCCCATTGTTACTGGCTTCTAAAAAAAACTGCCATAGAGTGCTTGTGTAGCCATTATGCCCGCATTGGCTTTGTCAGTCTCATCCTTATGAATGTGTCTTCACTCTAGCCAAAATGAGCCCACTGTATGATAATGTGCCTAAAAGCTTGCTCATATTCATGCTCCCAAGCCGGCCAGCATTACTAAATCATCCGCCAAAAACCTATTATAATGTATTCCTTCCAGTGGCGCACTGACCTGTGGTGCCTTAATTTACAACTTGCTGCATAATAACACTACAAAGCCTATTTAGGGTGCTGGGGCTGCTTCAGTCAGAGGCTTTCCAAGCATAGAATTCAGTTCTTAACTAATGTGCTCAGGTGAAAAAAAGCTCAGAAGAGTCCCAAAAAGTCTTCCAAAAAATTAAATACATCTCGGTAAATTCCCATGTGGCCCCAATGTGAGGAGAAGAAAAAATGCGAAAGAAAAAACGGAAAATAAAGGTGTGAGAAGAAGAGGGGCTATGGCTGAACATTTTTGTTCCTTGCATTTTTGCAGAAACCAACAGACTTTATAGTTAAACTTTGGACAATGGAGATCATTACTTTTGTTCGAGTGACTCTGTCCCCATCCATTCCCTTTTTTATTTTTTTGCCTTGTGCATATAATTCTTTTTTGTCTCCTTTTCCAAATAAATGCTTCGGTTTAACTGAGACAAAGACAAGAAGAATTAAATGGATGTCAGCAAAACAGTTTTCCTACTTAAAGAGAGAGCACGAGGCATATGCTTAGCTAAATGTATCACGATAGCTGTAATTAATGCAATAAATCTGATTGACAAAAAGACCTCTAAGCCACTTATGTCTTCACACAAACAGTGAGGATAATGGCCATCAAAAGAGACTTTCAGCCTCACTGACACACATGAACACACAGTCTTCACATCAAATGCATCTCGGAGTCAGCATTGGCATCAAAACAAGGCCGATGCTAATATGATGTCACTGCAGGAGCAGAGAGATTTAAAGCGTATGTCTGGGAGAAAATCTTGCCTGCTTATGCATGCAGCAAACAAATGTACTCTCTATTTTAATAACTGGAAGAAGGATGCTGGAGAGACTTGTAACCTCTCAATCGCCTCAAAAGCATCTATGAAAAAACGCTAAATCCTTTTTCGTCTCATTTAAAACAAATTCAAAAGTCAATCAGTCATTGGCTCTGTCTCTGCTTGTCACATGCGGACCCCATCCTTGCAAACAGTTCCTTTCAATGCCTGTCATGAAGCCTTTATCAGGAAGTGACTTAGACACTGACGTGAGTGCAGGGATACATTCCTTGTCATTAAAAACACTGTCATATTATGAGTTTTTGCCTCACTTATTCAAAGCAGTGCACAGTCCTTATTCCAACTGAAATTCAAAATACAGGTCTCTACAGGCAAGCTGGCTTTCATTCAGCCTCAAGGATCATGCGATTATGTTTATTCTGGGAATAAATATTTACGAACGTTGTTTCCCCGTACATAGGTGAACGTACGGGTATAACGGAGGTAGTTAAGCCGAGAACTAGTATCGCATGTAAATATTATTTGGATCTTCCACGGCCCATGCTACTGAGTCTGTGGTAATTAAATAACACAGATTACTCTTTGGTTTCTTATTCCATTTCCCCTCACATATTCAGAGTCATTCAGTCAGCTAAACGACTCCTCCTCGGGGTCTGTGCCTCAGCCTAAATTCCCTTGTGATTACGGGCACCTGTAGTCACAAAAGATACAACCTTGAAAAATGTAGTAGCTGATTTAAGACCTGCCACCCCCCCACCCCCTTTGGGCAGGTGTGAGGAAATGAGCTGATATGTTGGCAAAGTCATGACATTTTTTAATTAGATTTATATGAACCTATGCTTTAAAGCATATTACATAAAAAAAAGCTATCATTGCTTTTTAATCCTCTATGTACTTCTGCGGGATTCATATGTAACAGGAATTATTTTGACACTTACTTTTACACTTGGGTAGAGCTTTGCTCCACTGTCCATTGGGCTGGCACAGAGATTTAACAGCTCCCTGCAGAACATATCCGGTATTGCACACGAATCGAACGGCGTCGTTCAAGTTGAACTGGGTTCCTTGTGTTACGCCGAAAGTGGGGTTGCCAGGGTGACCACAGGTGATGGCTGAATTGTTCAAAGGAGAAAAATGCGACCATTAAACATTTACAGAGCACTTTGTTGAATTGAAGAAGCTCAAAGTTACATTACCATGTGAATAAATAAACTTTATATTTAAAAAATGAGTTCATTACATGCATATTGGAGCGAAAAGCATGGACCCAATTAAATCCTAAAGCTATATCTGTAACATTTTGAGATAATGAATGTAATATGTATGAGATCACATTTAAAAGTGATAGATAGGTGTAATTTTTGTAGTATAAATAAATCATTGATCTATACCTGTGGGACAAAGCCTTCTAATGCTAGGCAAAACCTTGTAATATTTGAGTAGTGGGCAGTATGATTAAACCTGATCAAAGCACAAAATGCATCTGTTCGTTACAGATCTTCATAGACCATTACAAAAACGGCATGGAGCTTAGACTAAAAGCTTTCAGTAGAAAAAAGTAATGGGATAATCTGAGCCTGCTATAACTAATCCTTCCCCCACAGTTGTGACGGTAACTGTTCCCAACAGACACTTACGAACACAAACAGGAGTACGACCTGACCAGCGGTGATCCTGCTCACAGATTCGTACTGACACTCCAATCAGACGAAATCCTGGATTACACTGGTACACAACACTTCCACGGTAATTGTAATTCTCTCCGATGATTTGCCCATTCACTATAGGCTCTGGAGTGCCACAATGCCCAGCTATGCAAACAGAGAGTCAAATAAAACATTTTATGAGCAGGGCTAATACTAATAAAGTTGGAGTCATTTGTATGTACAACAGGTCTCACCAAGACATTGGACCTGTGTCCCGCTCCAAAGTCCGTTGGACATACACTCTCGGACCCGAGAACCCACCAAAGTGTATCCTGTGTTGCAGGAAAAAATGGCTGTGGCTCCATAAACAGTGAGTGTTCCAATCTTGTTACCGTTTGGTGGAGTCCCAAGGTCTCCACAGGAGATGACTGATGAGAAAACAAAACATTTTAATCTCATGTAGCAAAACGTGAAACGGTTCCAATTTCATATTATCCTGGATTGGATGAGCAGTGTCCGAAAGTTAGACATATTGGGTTTTCAAAGTAAGGTCAATATTTCAATACAAATAAGGCAGCAGCCGCCTTATCAAATGCCAAAATGAAAAAAAGAAATCAAAACAAAATCATTCCCACTTACTGTCACAGACTGGCTGAGGATCAGGGTAGTTCCATGTGCCATTTTCTTGACAACGAATGATCCTTTGAGCCCTATAATAATATCCTGGGTCACATATGAGCATCATTATGGCATCATATTGGTTTTGAGTGCCATAGATTAGTCTCCATCTCCCATGTTCCACAGCAGAGTGGCCGATGTCTGGGCAGGTAACCGCTGGAAGTTGAAATGTCATCAAGTTAGTGATTTGACTGCACAGGAGAGAGTTTGTAACGTTCATCTGTTTTGGTAGTTGCCCTATATTCCCTATATTCATGTGGAAGCTTCCCATAATATTGCACCCAAGCCGTTCCAAGCCTGGCCCATTTACATAAACAACAAAAATAAAAACTCACAAGAAAAGCTGGACTATCAATATAAAAAACAACATTTAGTGTCAATAAATATCATAATTCAGTCTCAAAAGAGCTAAATCACTGAAATAGCAAATGACTAATGAATAAAAACACCTGACAAATTACTCTAATGATGCAACCTCATTACAAGAAATGATGAACAGCCTGTTGTGCTGAGAGAAAAACACACATGTACATGTGTCAGGTTTTTTTTATATCAGTGAGAATCAATGCATTCCATTAAGGAATCATTCTGGACTCTCTAAAGATGCACTATTTTCCCATCCATATATTACACATATACATCAGTAGTATTCTTTGTTTGAAAATGAATTCAAGAAAGCTATTCACAAAGCCGTAGTTAAATTAGAAAAACCAATATTCTTATATGATCACAAGTCATGGACGGGAGCAAAGGAACTATTCAGAAGGAATTATGAGATTTACTCTTAACTAGGTTCCAAAACCGAGCACCTGTATTATTACAGAAACTGCTAAAATGTGTCCATGGTCATATCAGCAATTTGCAAATCAATCTTTAGACGGATATCCACATGCGGATGAAATACCTTGACAGCCACTGGGGAGTGAAACTGTCATTCATGTTAAAAGAGGACATGAAAGCGTAGCTAAACTCCTGGAGAACTTTCATTTTGATTTTGTTCCATTTCAAGTCACCTGTCAGCCCTATTGCACCCAGACCTTGTAAATTGGGGAAAAGAGCAGGGTTTCCATCAAACTGCTTTGAATCCTAAAAAGCCAACTTCTGTTGAATGTAGATGTGTAACAACTTACTGGCGGCCTTGCATGGTTTTCTTCAGATCATTCAAGTGGTCAGTTATATCTACTATAAACGCAAGATCCTGAAGCTATTCTGAATCATAAAGTTCCACAACAGGTTTTTCATTTTACATCATAAAGATTCCCTTAAATCAGAGAAACAAATCAGCACAGCTCCTCATCTCAACCACCTAGCAGGCCATAAAGCATGTCTTAATCACTGGCAAATTACTGAATTTTCTGGCTTTGAGAAAATGTACAAGTTGTACAACTACTCTCATAATGTAATCCACATTTACTGAATTGCTGGAGAATGCTTTCTGATGCTAAATAAAATGAAAATCCAAAACAAGTTTGTTTGTTTTCTCCGTTCTCTGCTGCACTCATCTATAACGAAGTATATGCTACATGTCAAAACGGAGGTAGTTTGATACCCATTGACTAAACTGTATCAGAAGACGTTATCATGACCGACTTCCCTTGACTTTTCAAGCATTTCCATTGCATTTATTATAATTAATTAAAGCCATTAATACATTAGCTGTGGCTAACAAAAAAAAAAACACTGTACTTTATTCTTAGACCGTAGGTTTCCTTTTGGTTCCTAAGGTTTCTAAAAGCAGAGTGGGAGGCAGATCCTTCATTTTTCAGGCCCACTATTTATGGAATCAGTTATCAGGATTTGGCTTAAAACTTTAATTTCCGATAAAGCTATTTTTTACAGGTGTCTCAGGTACAATATCCCATGCTGCTATATGCTGAGATTACAGGGGGAGTTCCCATGATGTGCCTTTAATTTCTCTGCTCTTTTTTTCTCTTCGTGTACAAGTGACATTTTGGTTTTCATTAATATGTATTTTCTTACTCTTTCCTGTTTTCTTAATCTGTAATTGGTCAAGGCAGATGGCTAATGTCCCTAAATCTGGTCCTTCCCGTTATAATGAGAGTGTTTCTTATAAAATGACTGTCTTGTCCACCTTTGATTGGGTCTAAAACAGATTTGGATACAATCTGCTGGTTTATTTTACAAGGTGAGATTCTAAAAAGTAGTGTGAGAATTTGACTCATTTGGAATTTATTCAATTAGGTTTGATTTGATTAAGCTTGTACAACAAATAACTGCACTGTGCCTTTGAAATGCCATGAGATTACATTTGTTGCAATTTCATAAAGACATTTTAGACCTGATAATCATTTTTCTGTTTATGTAGAAAACAAATGACTGGAAATTGACTAAGCCTCTTATGGGTAAAACTCACAAGACCCAAAGGCTATTGGATGTGACTAGAAAACTGTAAACTTACCTGCACACGTCATGCACATCATGCACTGCCTGTTATGATCGCTTTTCTCCTGTTCAACTTTTGTTATTTACTTTGTCTCCTTTTATAACATTATTAGTAACTAACTTAAGATACAAAAACTCAAAAAGGCTAGTGGAGAGAGCTCTTTCCACACAGCCCAAAAACTCCATGCTCAGATTTGCTCACACCGAGGATCAGCTGATTGCCCTGAAGCCAGCTGACATGAAGGAAAGATGAACAAATATCCACGAAGAGATTTTTGTTGATGGACCCATAGGGGATGCAGAGGGGGCCTGAAAAAGCTCAGCTGAAGAGCGGGGGACGTGTTCTTCCCTTGACTTAACCAGAAGGGAAGTTTAAGCTGTCTCCACCCAAGGCAATGCAAACTTTTAAGGAGAAGGTGAAAGATTAATGCACATTCAGAGGCACGGAGCCAAAGGTCTCTCCTGCATCCTCTTCTCTCAGGTGACCTCCACCATGTCACACTGAAACAGTATGTTTCACGTCCTACTGGATGGGACAGAGCCTCTAGTTTGCAGCATGCTCATGAATATGCATAGAGTTATGTCCACCTTCTACCTCTCAGAAAGTCTGATGACAGCCCGATTCATCTTAAACCCAAGCGATGTGGATTCCGTGAAAAATAATCAGCCACCGACCGAGAGGACAGTGTGGAGATGGCCAGAGGAGGCTAAGGGGACATTACAAGCCTGTTTTGAGGTGACAGACGGGCAAACAATCTGCGATCCGCATGGGTAGAACATCAGTGGGGTCCCAGATTGTATCACAGTCTGTAGTAGCTAGCGCTGTCCTCCTGCATACTGGGGATAGGGATTTGAGAGTGTCTGATGCCGAGAGGCTGAATAGACTGATCCAATGTGCCAGTGATGTAACGGAGTTAAGGGGAAAGGTGGTGTCACAGAGAGGAATGCTGTCAAAATTAAGAAGCATCGTAAAGAATGACTCCCTGCTTGTCATGATGACTCATTCCCCCAGAGTGCACCACAGCGCGCCACAGGAAATTATTCTAGCCTATAGCCATCAAACCTTTCAAGTCAGTCAAAATTTTTGGTGTCAGATATTCATTTTTCTGTCATTTACACCTATAGTTTTATTTTATTTTATTGTAAAATTCGACTATTTGTATATATATTTTTATATATTCATTTTTCTGTCATTTACACCTATAGTTTTATTTTATTTTCTTGTAAAATTCGACTATTTGTATATATCTTTTTTTCCAGTTCTAATGCACCTTAGTTTATGCTTTCTATGCTCTTATTTCAATTACTTGTTCTCTTTGAATCTGTGTTTTTATTTTTGAATGGTCTCAAAAGTTTTCTGAACTGTTTAACAGTTTATCCAGGTTGCAACTAAACAATAAGACAAATACTTACGAACACATCTGGGTGGGGCCTCAATAGAGCTCCACCGTCCAGATTCTTGACATATTACAGATGTTGTAAGAGGCCCAGCAAGCCTAAATCCAGGGTTACATTGGTAGGTGGCCCTGGCTCCAAGGGAAAAATCCTGGCCTACAATGCTTCCATTAACAGGAGGAACTGGCATTCCACAGGACATGACTGCAAAGACATGGAGAGTAATTCATGTAAGCTCAAACAAAAATGAGTGATGCATTAGAGCACAAACGCCGCTTTAAAAAACATATTTACATTGAAGCTGGTAAGCCTACAACAATCTTCCCTGTGCAGCACACATGTATTAACTTATGTACAGCAAGCATTAGCTTGAACAAACATTAGCACGATAAAAGAGCCATCAAGCCAACTAGAAATATTTTACATATATCTTACATATACACATACTAAATGTACTGAAAATAACATTTTGACAGAATTCACAAATATGAAGACAACAAGTCAGCATTAATTCCTTGACAAAGTTGCACTTTCCAAAGCAGCTGAAACTCATTTTACACTCATACTTGATTATCAAAAATGTAATCCTCCTTTCTTAAAAATGTGCATTATGACAAGGTCTAGCCGCGATACACCAACTGGCACTAATTTCAGACTGTATTTTCAAAACAGTCCTTCAGAGTCATAATGTGAGCTTTCCTAAGGCACGCCTGAGGCTAAGGCGCTGCTAGGAATGATATACTCTGCAGTTTTATCAAAAGCAAAAGGACTCACTTAAACGTATTTCAGTCACATTAGATATAACAAGCAGATTTGCAACATGCCAGTATGTTTAATGAGCCATCACAATAACACTGACTAAATGTTTAAGAACTGAGGATCCTTTGACCTACAATAAATTGTTAAACCACTCTACACTCATGCATACAAACATTATGAGCCCCCTACCTTGGCAAAGGGGCACTGGGGCATTCCACTGGTAGATTCCTTGTGCATTTCGGGTGCATGTGGCACTGCTCTGCCCAATTAGCCGGAAGCCCTGGTCACAGCTGAAGCGCAAGGTGCTGCCTAACTTAGTGCCTGTCAGACTGTGCACCGTGCCATTTACGGGGTTGTTTGGAGGGCTGCAGTAAGCAGCTAAGTAAAAGAATAAAACAAATACATAAATATGCAAATCTACAAAGCACGGCACAACACATTGAGAAGTGATGCAAGGCAATGCAAGGTTTTAAGGAGAAGGTGAAAGATTAATGCACATTCAGAGGCACACTGCCAAAGGTATCTACTGCATCCTCTTCTTGTGTTGGAGAAAAAGCAGGATATGTATTAACACAAGCAGAACAATGCAATCTCTTTAAGGCAAACACTGCTGTCTAAAGACGAGAGAAATCGATTATGTGAAACTAATGTGCTCCATAGCAAAATGGGAGTTTGTCAGAGAAAGATCATAAAAGTGATGGATACGTAATAAAAGGAACAAAATATTCCTTTTTGGTTAAATTGGTGGGAGCCATAATCATTTATCTTCACAAATGGTGCCAGAAATGGATGCACAGCTTCCAAAGAAGATTCACAAGCCTACACAAATTTTTGCAGATTTCACAACAACAGTGCAGCATCACGCACAAACCGGAAGATTATGAAATCGTATACAATAATAATAATAATTGAAAACTACGACATCAATCGCAGGAAGAAATTATGTCCACACAAATTTCCCATAAGAAATGTAAATACTGTCTTAGAAGCTAACAGGTAATAATGAACATTTTTAGATAACGGCTTTTTAAAAAATGGAATTACCGAGATAAATCACCCACATAATTAAAAATCCTGGAGAGATAACAATGATGAAGAAGTTCATTGCAACAGTTATATCTTGTTACCTCAAATAAATAATTCCAATTTGACAGAGGGAGGGACATTGAAAGTAAACTGACACATCTAAAGAAACTAAATGAAAATGGAATGCTGAAAAACAGACGGTGAACATTTCTAGATCAGATGATCTCTTCTTTGATTATCCACCTCAGATTTTATTGTCACTTTAGTATAAGGTTTAAAGCTTTACATCTTGTACTTCTCATAGGCGCTCTCTATGCTGACAGATCTAAAAAAAAAAAAGACTTATTTTTAATTCAGTTTTAACGTCAGTTTAACTTCAACTGTATATTTTCTTCAGCGAGTCTTCTCAGAGGGAGTCGTTGAGAATTCTTCCTCTGAGTTCGTATTTGGACACTTCTGCCATAACTAATTAAATCTGAGTGGGCTTGTAGCTAGATTGGAATATATAACAAACAAAAGAGGAATGGAGAAGGAAATCTAAGGAGTCAGGCTTGCTAAATTGATTAATCCAATGGAGAAGATACACATACTATTATGGAATGTTAGAAGCTGGGAGAGAAGCTTTAGATACAGTGGAATAGTATGGAATCGAGATGGAGACTGCGAGAGGAAATGGCTTCATGTTGTTAATGAAAGAGCTGCCCTTGGAGAGAAACGATGAATTGATGAGGAATCAAGCCGAATACAATGAATGTGCCAGTGCCATCTGTTTTGTCCCTCTACACCAAAGTACAACAGAAGGCAATTCCATATTGACCAAGGGAACTTTTAGGTTCTTGGGGCTCACTTAGCCTGTCTGTCACTTAATCTGCCATTACAAAATCCATCACAGAAAAAAAAAAAAAAAACACTATGAGAGTAAAAAAGTCCAACAGGATGTTAAAAAAAAATCTGAGAGAGATGACAGAGCACCCGGCTGGAGAGAGACAGAAAGCTCTTCTGAGAGTAGGAGCGAAACAATTTGTCAATCTGGCTGAGTGGTGTTGATACAGAATGGAGGGAGCCTTTTAAATATTTACAGTCTTAATTCACAGTGAGTTATGCAGGCGTCATATACCGACAGATCCTTTACGGGAGCAGCAAAAAACAGAGGAATAAAAAGCAAAACAACATGCAGCTTTTAGTCATTTTCGAGTCTTGCCACACTGGAATACACGGGGTGATTAGTTGCTCATAATGATGGGTCACATTTCTAGCTGTCTCAGCCACAGTTGGCATCCCAGCTGTTGGTCTTGTTGAAAAAGTACCACCACTGATGAGATTAAACTCACAAGGTCCCAAAATAACAAGTTGTACAGAATTTATTTTCATCCAGTGAATCCATCACAGTGTAAATGAACCGCTGAGATGAATTCATACTTGTGAATTACTGCTCTCGACCCACCTGAGTATCGTATGCGAAATCCTTTGTGGCTAGTCGTGTGATCAAAGGACCAGTGCAGATAGACTTTATTACTGGAACTGGTGATGCTCAGCGGACTGGAATAGTTACTACTGAGGGTGATCAAGAGGGGGCTTTGCCTGGATGGACCTGGATGAAGAAAAACAACATGATACACTAATCCCACAACAACGCATTGATGGATAGAGAAAGAAAGATATTTCTATGTAAACCCATAGTAAATAGGTTGACTTTCTTAACTGTTGCCGTGACCCACCATCAAATATTTTAAGTTCATCAAACTGACGGCTGGTCTGGAAGTGTTCAATTGTAAAGGTGATATTGTAGCCAGGATCAACCTTGACCACCCAGGAACATGACTCAAAATGAGGGAAGCCACTGCCCGGTGACTGGCTCAAAATGACACCTGTGGATGATGTCAGCACCTCGTTCATGGGGCAGATCACTGAAGAGAAAAAGAAAAAAAAACAGAGGACAGTGAGACATTATTTTCAATTATTGAAGTGATGATGTATTTGTGTTTTGTTTGTGTCATTCAGTTGCGGATCACGTTTAGTGGTCGTTCATTCATTTTAGTGAATTCAATTTACCTTGAAGCATTAGCTGAATTGGTTAGATCCATACGTTTCCTGGGGGAAAACTCATTGTGACTAAAAGCATGAGTGAGCTAATTGTCATTCTGGTCTGCATACTGTCCCAGGAAATAAAGCTATGAATGTAAAGTCAGCTCCCAGAAAAACCTATATATTCTACAGTATCACTGTCTTGACATCAACGTGTGCACTCCTCTCTGGTGATTTTCAGACAAATATATTGTTCTCTTGGAGGGTAACTCTCATAGCTGCATTGCCGAGGCAGCTTTTTTTGGACATTGTATCCGGACATCAATCCTTACAACTTATTTTCTCATGTCATTAGAATTCATGTAGGACATCTTCTTGGGCATTTCCTAGCAGTTTGTAAATGTCTTGGGGCTTCCACGGGACACAAACTATTGTCTATATTACCAGGAAATACTTGGGGCTCCTGTTTGTTGATGTTCTCTTGCAATATTGTGAAGCCATCCTCCTAATCTACCATGACTGCCTGCATACACAGTGAAAGGGTGCAATACATTGTTACAACAATATAATGTAACCCCCTCCCCGAATTCTACAAAGAAAAGGTTTAAATTGAGACTGTGGGAAATTTAGTTGGGGGGTGTAAATACCCCCGCCGTGTGCTACATTTAGAATGATAAGTATTTTCTGGCTAAAGGAAAAGCAGTGATTGGCACTTTAAGAATATTATTTGAGTCAACAGTTCAAATATGAGTCAATGTGTATAAGAATAAACTTATTTGTGTACATGGGTGAGAATATGTGTTTGCTTTGGAGCTGAACTGTGTAGGCTTTGGCCTGCTTCGTCTCTAAGCTTAGACAGGAAAAATTATCATCTGAAGACAAACACGGCAGATAACCAGGTTAATCTGCAGTTTTCAAACAACTCTTCATATTAAACCAAGTCTTATCATGTAAACAGGGTAAGATTTTCTTGAATCTATCAATAATAGTAAGACTTATTGCACTTGGAAATTACGTAAAAAAATTAAGTCTCAATTTCTTTAAACAATCAATTCACTGTGTCTTGGAATTTATAGAAAAGATAAGGATGGTCCTTGTTCAAAGGCTGCTACTTAAACTGATCGACTTTCAAATACAGAATTACTCTGGATGTAAATAACAGATTATTAGAGGATGAAGACAAATTGAATGCACAAAGTGATATAAAAAAAACATACTGAATTCGACAGAAAATTCACTTTGATGATTCAAAGAACAGAATAGGCAAGGATGAAAGAAATCTGAAAAACTTCACCGGATGTGTGAATAAATATTTCATAGTAAGCACCGGCTTGACAATAACAAACTCAGTGGAGGATTTCAGTGGTCATAGACACAGGTCGATAAAAGTCTGCATTCAGACTAGCACATCTCAACCCTTCCTTCTTTGACTTTTTGTTAAATTGTGCAACAATGAAAAGAGACAAAGGGATGCTGACAGCCTCTGTAATAAATTGGAAGCTATTGAGATGAGCAATTAAACAGATTTATTTAACCATACAATTTTGGGTGGATAAACACTTGGATTTCGGATCCTTTTTGCATGTAGTATTTTCTTAACAGATTGAATCAACAGTACTGACTGTACTGCTGTGTGTGTTCGAGATATTCTTGGCAGATGGTTAATGCGTTTAAGGGTAGCAGGTCTGATTCAAGTCTGTGTAATCAAATAAAAGCCTAATTAAATTTTTCTCAGACAATAAGAAATCCAGGAGAGACCAAACCTATTTGAATGATTGCCAACACTTGAACATTACAAAAGAAAAAAACATATCTGTGTTTGTGCTGCCATATCAGTGACTTTTATGTCTCTGCTTGGATGACATTTCTGGGCGAAACAAGATTTGTCATTGTGTGCGATATGCAATATGCAATACCGTGTTTTTGAGCCAGTCTCAGACAGTGACACGCGAAAAGGAAAGGGGAGGGTTTACATGTGTTATGTAAAGGCAGAAGTGAGTCAGGATAGAGGAGTTTGTAAATGTAGAAGAAGTGTGATGGTTCTGACAGTGAGGAACAGGCAGTGCTGCAGAAAAACTGGCGGTGGTTCCAGTGCTGCTGTCTGGAAGACTATCCTGGAATAACAACACGCACTGCTGTGTAGTCCAAACACACGGCAGACAAGTGGGTATGTGTGTGTACTGTATATAAATGTATATGTGCATGTGCGATGGGTGGACTGCAGAGAGTTTGTGTGAGGGGGATAGTGGCCCTACATGGAGCAGGAAGGGTTGTGTCTGTCAGAGCTAGACGTGGTGATTTGATAGGTGCAGCTGCAGCTGGCATGTCCCCTGAATTTCAATGAGTTGTGCACTTTGTCTCTTTTCCGCCCTGCAACTAAGTGTTTCCCTGTCTCTCTTTTCTACCTTTCTTTTTAACTGCTGTCCGCTTTTCACTTGGGTACTACTTCTCAGCTCACTTTGCAGTCTCTCTTTCAGCTTTTTTCCAGACAGATTTTTTGTCTTTGCTTTCTTTTGCTTATCCAGAGTTAACTTAATCTGCTCTCCTCCCATACTGTTTCTTTGACCAGCTCCTCTACCCACCCATTTCTCTTCTCCCCCCCTCCAAACAGGGAACTCTCTCAACCGACCCTTCCTTCTTTAGCTTTTGTTTTCCGGCCCCTTCATCACTCTGGTCTGTGTCTATGCAGGTGAAGTGAAAAGCAGAGCGGGAAGGAGGGGATGCTCTAACTGTTTGCCCCATGTATTATGAGTTACTCAGCGTAAAAGGATGCTTACACTTGCACATATTCAGGTGAAAAAATGCAAGGTGAGCTGGCAAGAGGTAGGTGAAATTTACGCAGATTGGATTTCTTGTCTACCTCTGTTCTGCCTCTAACTGGGTGCCCTATGAATAGCACTGTCTTTCATGTCTAGTAAACAGAGTACATTGTCTGCTCCCCTTTATTGCCATTCTGTTTCTCTGTGCATTCTCTCCTTTCACTTCATAGTAGCAGTATTTGTATATTTTTCAAATTTCTCAACACAGACACACACACATACATACACACACACACGTATATATTTAAATATATAGTACCCAGTGCTCTGCCCAGAGGAAACACTACACACAACAGACAGCACTGTTATGGGACTGTGTGTGGGGTGCACTGAAATCCTCTGGGACTACGGTATCTCAATGTGTAGACAGCAACACAGCAACCACCCTCATCCTCATGGGAGCCAAGAATCATCCACAGAGATGGAAAGTGGTATCAAACTGATATGTGGTTGCGGCTCCATGACTATAAGCAAAAAAAGAGTACCCACGGGAAGCCAAAAAATATGAAAAAACACAACCCAGTGCTTGAGTTTATATTTAGAAACAAAGACAAAAAACGGCCATAGCATCCCTCTTTACAGATGGAGGCAGTGTAAACTTGTGTCACAGCAGAATAATTAGTCAAAATAAGGTTAAGTACCCATTGCAGGCCACCAGGCATTCCAAAAGTGCTCTAACAATGCAGCCTGTTTGGCGATGATAGAAAAACATACAGTGTGCTACAAAGAAAAAAACGAGTGCCAAGGACCAATGGTAACGAGACAATTGATGGCAAACGCCTTTTTTCGGCTGTCAGTCATCTGCTCCTATCATCCCAGTGGACCATAATTTAAATAGAGAGACACACTTATCAGCTTCCAGCATCAACCTTAAAGTAATTTACACTTTAAACATAAAATAAATACATTAAAGGGGTATTTTAAAGATTTTCTGAATAACACTGACTTTTATACAGATAAAAAAAATGAATCTAATGAAGATGTACCGTTTGTATCAAGGTGAAAACTAGGTTCCCACTTTGGATTCAAGTTACAAGTGACAGAGTTAACAGACACGATCACTTACCATCACATGAAGGTGGAGGTCCTTCAAATTCTAAGTAAGTGCCTAATCGACAGGTCAGGATACTGTTTCCACTTAATTGGTAGCCTGGCAGACACCGGTAACGCACTATATCACCTGGGCATGGAGTTGGGAGAAAAAGAAAGTTCAGGTAGACTTAGGCCAGAGACTGTGACAACACCCAACATGAAAAAGTAGCGCTGCTCCGAGAGCAATGATTATGTATGTATATGCAAGTCTTTTCTTGTGACAGCCACCAATTACCTACCAATTTTGAATTCTTTGCTTGCCATCAAGATCTCTGCATTAGGAATGATAGGTGGGGGCAGGCAGTACTGCAGTCGGTAAGCTTTATTCAGAGAATCAAAGAGATGAAAGTAGACAAATACAGATTAAACAGGCTGCAGGTTTTCTGATAGGAATAATGATGGTGTGAAAATGTACATACCTTGATAACTGATCCGGAACAGCCCTCCCTTTTCCGTGTTACTACGGAACCGTATGAGCACCTGATTGGATGTGCTGCTGGGAGACTCATTGGGCTCTCCATCAGTGAACACACCGAGTTTCCTGGCTGTCTCTTGTGGGCCATCCCTACAGAGAAAAAGTGAGAAAGGTCATCTATAACTGATACAACAATCACAATGGACATAACAGCCTATGCCCACGAGTTCTCTAGCCACTGAACATCTCAAGCCTTTGTGACACAAGTCAAATTGAGCCTTGTGACTGGTACCATCTAAAAAAACTTCAAGAAACAAATTACAATCAAGCTGCCCTTGCTTCACAAAACCCGGCAATTACTCTCACTTGCTCTATGTGATTATGTCTAAGTAAAGTAAGTCGGAAAACTGGTGAATGACGGGTCTGGATAGTGCTGCTCCTGCTAACAAACATCCAAAGGGAGGGTCTCTGGAAGATGTGTCCCTGCCTTGGCAGTCCCATGGTGTGGGCACGGCCGATTAAGCCAGCTCCCAGATTCAGGCCACAACCATTCAGCTTAAAAACCATCTGTCTTTGGCTGTCAGACTGGGCATGGGAGATTACAAGCAGCTCTGGAAATGGCTGGCTAGGGAATGCTGCCTGACAGCACTCTAGCCAAGCCGCCATTACGGGGACCATTTCCTTGGCTCACTAGTTCAGTGGGTGGATACCCAGCAGTGGAGGGTAGGAAGTAGCAAACGTGATAGTCTGATTCTTGGCTGTGGAGGGTCTTATGGAAATTAAAAAAAAAACACTGTGCCATTTACTAAAAGAGGAAAAACAATGACAATGATGAAAAAGGATAAATTTGGCTGACTATACACAGGCTACCATACTCCCCATGATCAAAAGTTTTTGTCATAATGTCCGTAGGCAAAGCAAACCTTGAAAACGGTCCATACAGTGCAGTTTTTATATGGCTGAGAGGACTGTTGGAAGACCTCTTAAAGAGTAGAAGTCAGCTGGGACTGACAGCTATCATGCATGAAAAATCATATCTCTGGTGGTAAACATGGCAAGTGCACTAATGTCTTATGGTGGTGATTAAAGGACAGCCCCCCAGATTTGTTGTCAGACATAAAGATATAGACCCACCATCTAAATGTTGGAACCCAGGCATGCAAAAACATGTGACATACATAGAATCTCATCTAATTATTTAAAATATTCAGAAATGAGTGGTTGTTGGGTTTGGGTGTGGGTGTGTGTTGGGGGGGGGGGGGGGGGGGGGGGTGGGACATGGGACATTTATATCTAATACTTTTCTGATTGCTTTTCTGGGGATGATTGCTTTCACATATTTGTTTGATTCCCAAGATATATAATTAACAGTTCATTTCTAATCATCATTGCTGCAAGTCAAAATTAGTTTACAAAAAAAAAAACACCTAAGAAGTTTATAATAAACCCTCTTCACATAGTAATGATTAGTTTCTACACAGGTACAAGAAAATATATGAAAATCAAATGTCCATATTATAATAATTTAATATTGACTTGACTTGATTGTCAGACTGGATGATACTAATCATTTGGAGGCTTATTCCCTTACCAGACAGTAATGAAGTCATGAGGCCCATGAACTTGAATTAGGGTGAAGTTCAGTTTGATACCAAACCCGTGAGCCATTGTAATCAACCAGGAGCAGTCAGCTGAGCTCGGGTACTCCTCTGGGTAACCCGGGGAGAATATTGTCCCATTGTCCGATGTGATGTTCGCGCCACAAGGCACTGGAAAATATAACGAAAGAAGAAAAACAGAGACAGAGTATATTTATATCAGTGGGCCAACATAATATACATAAATAATCTCCAGACAGGAGAAAAGGGGGATTTTTTTCATTCTCTCGCCCTTTTGCTTCCATTTCCAGTGTTTCTTTCCCTCACTATTTCACTCTTTGCCTATTGCCCAAGCACTTGTCTGAGTTAAAGATTAGCCAGTAAAGCCTGTTAGTAAGTGGGGAGTTGGATGGAGTGTTTTGCAAAGATAAGACCTCAACCCTTTCCCAGTGAGGCAGAAAAGAGAGCAGAGATGAGGAGGGGGTTGTTAGTGTGCACTGGGCTCATGAGGTGTGTGCATAAGACAATACGTGCATGTCACTTTAACCCTCAAGTCCATCCAAACTTTATACCCAAAGGCTCCTGATTCTATCTAAAAAAAAGACTTAAAGAAAATAAACTGCAGTGAATCAGCCTAAAAAAAAGCACGTGTTGAAATGGAATATATTTCAAACATTCCTCAGCAAGTACGAACTTTGTGGGGCAGGGTTAATTTAGAGGAAGCAGTAATCATTGCATTGCAGGCATCCCAATGTGGATATCCATGCCACACCCTTAGATGCCTATTGGTATACGATCAGGCGCACAGTAGATACCGCATGCTTTATTCCTACATTTCACCCTCTCAGGTCATGTGTATTCATATCAAAACACTGCCTACTTTAGCCTTGCGGTCGACTTCCTCTCTGCCGCTGCCTCACCTGGTAAATGAGCTATCGATCACGGCCATTGATTAAACCCTTGACACTCTCTGGAGTCGTGCCTCTGGCTGACGCATTGACTAGCAAACTACTTATCTTGCAAGTGTGAACAAGAACATGTTCGCTTCCACCATAATATGAGAATATAAAGCATGAAACTGTTTTTGGAACGCTTAAAAAAAAACACACAAGAGAAACCCCTAGGAAGCAAAACATTGTATAAATGCAAATGAAAAGCAGAATGTTTTCATAAGGGAAGAAAGAAGTCCCATGACCTTTTCGACTTCACAGCTGGTCAAGAAGACACATACATATTCTGATAACACTAAAACAAGTGTACCAGGTGCGCTAAAGAAGTGAAAAATAATTATTGTGTTTTACGCAGTGTCAAGTGAAGCTCCTGCAAAAACAAGTATATTTAATTATCCATCTTTTAAAGTTATTTGGAAGCTGATGTAAAGATTTGAGAAACACAATATGAGTGAGGTGTTCTGTGATAGGCCAGCATTGATTGTTTTGTTTCAAAGTAAGTCACATTAAAACAATGCTAATTATAATTTTTTCATTTTCAGTATTTTTTTCATTTCTCATCATCTTGACATCACATTAAAATATCCCAAACAAAAGCCCCATGAAAATAAATAAACTGAGTGAATGAACTTTTATCAGCTTTCTTTTATACTGTTTTGTTTCTTCACTGACTCCCATTTATCTCCCTGATCACCCATTCAAAGTTCCAGTGTCACGACCACCACTTCCCTCTGTTATTTTTCCTACTTTATTGAATACTCAACTGTTAAAGTGTGGGAATGTGTGTGTCAAGGACAAAGCAAAAAAGAAAAGGGCGTCCATTACGTTTCCTTTTCAATTTAGTCCACCTGTATTCAGCCTTTATCTGTCTCCACACCTATTTAGCACAGTATTGATTCTCATTGAGACATGCTTAATTTCATTAATAGGGAATAATAATTCAGTTTAATTACACAATTCATAATAGATCATCATTATCTCCATGGCTGCATTTTACACTAATGATGTAATAGCTCACTATGTTCTTAACAAGAAATTAACATGTAAACGTTTCAGTTTAGCACCGATGTTTGGAAATGCTTCACCTTCAGAGGTTTATATGCATCACTAAACGCATTTCACCTGTTATTTTGTCAAATCCCTCCCGATTTACCTTCGCAGCGAGGGAAGGGGTGATCCCAGTTGCGGGTGCTGCCATGCTCACAGGTCAGGATGGAGTGACCCATCAGCTGATACCCAGGCAGACACTCGAAGGAAATGGACTGTCCCACATTAAAGCCAGCCCCTACGACAACACCGTACCGGAATGGCTCTGGATCTGGACATTCCTGTAGCTCATATGCTGAAGGCAAAAGAAGAGAGATTGCATCTTTTATTTCAATCAAATCCAAATCTGCCTCTGAATCTGGCTATGAAAAGTAAGCAATACCTCTAATGATTCACATTGCCAATAAAAGGAAAGAAAAAAAACATCACACAAAAATAATCTGTGATATGTAATTAGTTAGGTCTTCCTGAAGGGTATTATTTTTATGGTTTAAGGGATGACCGCATTAATGTTTGTTTTTAAGTGTGAGAAATGTTCCTAACAGCAGTGGCGCTTGCTCTGTTTTAAATGAGTTCTTTCAATTATTATTCCACATGAGTAACTTGTTCCTTCATTTCACTGTTTTCGCCTTCTTACTCTTAAATATAAGAGAGTTTTCAGAGAGAAACGCCAGAGGCAGGTTTGACTTTTGCTGGTGGAGTTTGATGAAGTCACTAGAGGTAGGGTAGGTAAATATTCTCAGTATTTTTCCTCTTGGATGCAGAAGCTGATCAGGCAGCACATCCCAAAGAGGTAAGCATATAAATATGACTAAAGCAGCTGATTTCTATGGATCACAGGTTCCGTTTAAAAAAGATAACTCATGCAAAACAGCAAGAACAGAGGCGTTTGTAAATACAATACTTGATTTATATGCTAATGTACACATAATTATGTAAATGACCCACACTTTACCTTTTGATTTGCTGGCTCATTTGTTGAATCACTAAATAAAAATTCTCTTTGCCTATTGCATATTTAGACAATTATAATTTATCCCCTGCAGGATTGAAATGAAACATTTATTGAAACATTGTGAAGTCCTCTAAAGAGAAAACTACTGGCTCTCTCTTTATATTAGCCAGATACAATCAGCATTAAGGTCACTTCGCTAATGTTGAGGCCATGTCATGGTGCAAGATGTATATTTAAGAACGGTAAGAAATCTACAACAAGTCATTCATGACAAGCATATGACACGATTATGATTACAAATTTTTCCCAAACTTGAAATCTTTTACAAGGAAATCACCATATGCCTTTATGTACTCCATCATATCTGACCTCTTACCTTGGTACTCAAATCTAAAACCTGGTTTATTCTGTGAATGGTCACTATGGAAATACACAGTGGTCTCATGGGAGGTTGTGAGGAGAGAGGAGGGAATGTCTTGGCCGCTGAATCGACCAATCACAGTGCTCGTGTCGAGGGGCCCATTGCGTATCTCCAGAAAATCATGGTTGGCCTCGGTGGAAAAGTTGAGGAATTGTATGTGGGCTCCTGAGAAAATAAGGTTAAATTATTATTTGTGCGGAGAGTGTTTGGAATCTGAAAATGAAATGTCACCTTTCTGAAATATCAGTAAGGTGCCCCTGTATGGGGTCTCAAATTTGAACAAGCTTAACCAGGTGTGTATTTACAATGACTAATATCATTACGCACTCTAAACTTTCCAGTGTGGAAATGTCAAAGTGACATCCTGCGAACGTCTTTCGAGCTGCTCACCGTAACCAACTGGCAGGTAGATTCTCCAGGTGCAGTCACTGTTGCTAGGGTAGTTGCCAGGGAAACCAGGACTGAGAATCATTCCCTCCATCTCCTCCCGGATTCCACCACATTGAGCTGGTAGAGTCCAGAAAAAGCATTTATTAGTATTTGCAGTGAGGCCTAGAATAACAATAGAGTTACAGTGTTTAGTGATTTTCAATAATTACATAGTTAGCTTTTAAGGTAATATATAATATAAAAGTTATTCCATTTGTTTAATTTAAGGCACACTTGATATGAAATGGTTTTTTATTCAAAACAAGCAGAATATTTGTACCAATAATGTACTCAATCGCATGCAACAAATGACCAAAATTGCTAAATGGTTTCAGTGTATGTAAGTGGAAAAATCCTCTTAATATCAAAGTTCTTTGCAAGATGCAAGAACCACAGAACTTTTCGCTTCTTTTCGCTTCTTTTCATCTTTCTCCATTCAAGTTACTCCACTTAGTGATTTTTTTTTCTTTTTGAAAATAAAACTCTTACTGAATTTCAACAAGCAAGTTGAAATATTATTACTCTCAAATAACTTGGGTTTTCCAAAAGTTTTCAGATTATGGCATCACTGCTTTGGTCTTCCTTCTTTCGTTCAGTTAGCCAGCATTTCCCTTGTTCTTGTTTAATCTCACCTTTGCTGTCATCCTCCTTACCAACCATGTGTTCTCTTTAACATAAACCTTCATAATACCTTGGTACAGCACTAAAATCCAACCGGATTCTTATTTGAACTCTATACATTTGTCTAATCGTTATCCATCAATAAACTTTATTTCCTATTATTCTACCTAATTATAAAACTTTTATAAATGTCCAAGACTAAAAAGAGCATGACAATGAGAGAGGAGAGAAAGTAGTCTGAATCAGATGGTTTAAAAAAACATCCCAAGCTTCCGAAATCCTTACACTGAGATTAAATCTATGAAATAATGTCTTTGCTAATCATCAAAGAATTAGCTAACAGAATGACGGAGTCACTGAAAGATATGAAGCCAACAGAGAGAAGATTAAGAAATAAAATCTTCTGTGACATGTTTTCTGAGAAGAATGTAAAGACAAGGTCTAAATGTTATCCTGCTCTGTATCCAAAGAAAGAACACTGCAGTCATTATGAAATATGCTGATGCCTGTAAACACAATGAATCTTCCCCTGATTTCATCCAATCAAAGTCTGAAACTGAACTAATTAGACAATTGTAGGTTGTTCCAATAAGTGAAACTCATTCGTCAAGGTTTCTATTTCATTTTTTTTACAAAAAGAACTGACTTCAAGTAGTTGCTTCCAGCACGTACACGATTCATGGTAAAAAAACACCTAAGGGATTCAAGGTGCTAATACTCTCACGAATTCAAAAGAAAAACACCTAAGTGGATACAACCCTTGATTTTTTTTATTTATTTAAGATCTCTTAGAGCATATTCAAGTTTTTTGTTGAGAAATTTGTCATTGAAAATTAAATGGCCACACTGACCCATAAAGAACATATACACTGATATGATGAGAGGCATACATTAAAAGTAGTTTTAAAAATATGCAGAAGGAGAACACAAGATGCACAGTGTTTAAACAAAGCAAAAATCAAAAAAACATTTTTACCTATGCAGAGAGGAGGTGGATAATTCCATCGTCTGACAGTTCCAGGCATGCACGTAATGTGTGAGTTTCCCTGCACACACACACACAACCAGCGCACACAGACACGAAGAACAAAGCACAATAAAGAGCAGGAGATAAATTAACACGTTGACCCCACAGTCATCCATCTGTTGCTCCAGTCATTTGAGCCTGCTCCCCGTCACAACATGACTTCATGCGGCGACTAAACGACTCAATCCATTTAAAGTAACAGAACGCAGAAAGGAAGCTCGACAGGCAAACTGTGACACTTAAACAAAGAGAGACAAATAAATCGTAATGCCTATAAATATCTACAACATCTAATCTGGCAATGCAAAGTTAGCAAAAAAGACAGTGGGAGAAAAAATAATAATAAAAGAGGCAAAATGAAATTTAAAAAAGACCCGACTGAAAAATAATATTGACTCATTGGATCTTATTGTAGAATGTGTAGGAAGCAGCAACTGAACTGCTGAGTGGTTGGTAATTTTTCCTTTATGAATAACTATTCTATATTTGACTTGCCTTAAGAGAAAATTCACAGAATCAAAATCACAGGCTTAAAAATCTATTTCAGTTGCAAGATGTTCAAATCAGGGGATATTTGTTCAGAAGGCATAAAAAAAAAAATCAAATGTGCCAAATGAGCATTGGATTTATGTAAATGTGTTACTCAGCAATAACTAAAGGCAGGAGATGTTACCTGTAGCGTATAACCAGGCTCGCAATGGAAGGACACCACGTTATTCATCTGAAGACGATCTCCAACCTTAATACCGTTCATAGGGACAACAGGCTCTGGACAACTGGTCAGAGACACAGCTGAGCAGGTAAAGAACAGAAAACAACATAAAATGAGAAAAAAAAGACGAGCATTTGTGAAACTCCAAGCAGAGATACAATAATTACAATATGGGCTCATCTTTAAGTCATTTTAAGTGGTAAAACCTTTTTTCTCTACTTACTTTTGTACTCCAGCCTGAATCCAGCTGCAGAAACACTAATATCAGAAAAAAAGTGCAGGTAGAGTTGGTTGGAGGTGCTATTGAGGAGAGCTGGGACTGTGGTTCCTTGGAGAGAAAATGAGGAGTGGAAGTTAGCAATGATGTGTCCTCTATTTGGTGACCAGAACTAACAGAACACATAACTAGCATACATCTGAAAAGTTCTACCCCTTTTGCATGTTTCACTTCAGATTCATATGCATATACATCATATGTCCCACTAAGCTGTAGTAGAGAATATCACAACAGTAAAGCTTTTTGGTTTTCAGGGAAAATAGAGTGTAGAAAAAATTATTTCTTCCAGGATCCAGGAACACTCTCCTAATATGTCGCTCCTGTTGCTGTGTTGTTGTGTTTTGTTACTCCCTTCATGATAAAGTCAGTAACAAAAACTTCTGAAAAGTCATCATGCCATTTTATGTTTTATAATCAGCTAACCTCTCACAATTACGCACACATCCAGAACTACCTGAGAAGCTGCCAAGCATGGTGTCAGTGTTGTCGCCTCCATCAAAGACCTCCAGTGAGTCCCAGTTCTGCTCTGTGACAAAGCTGATTACCTGGATCTGAGATGAATGTGAGGCAGAAGAAGAGGGTGAGGGAAGAACTCGATTAGTAACGAGCCAAAAAGAAACTCCGGCACATGAACAAAAAGAATAATTAGTTTTTGTCAGCAACTCAGAGGCAATGGGGCCAAGAATGTGTATGAGCAGGAAGTCAGGAATTAGTAGAAACGTTAAAGATTAATGAGGATGTGAAAGATTTAGTAGAGAACAGAACAGAACAGAAGTAGACTTACTCATCTATCTGATATCTACTTTACATGAAAAAAAAGGTTACTTTGTCTGGGTGAATGAATGATAAACATAAATAACACAGGGACCTTGATTGTAAACTGAATGGCTTTAGAAATAATCAAAGCTGTTAATGAAGATCAAAAACACAACTAACAGCAATATGAAATATACATGCATTTCCTTCTTCAAAGACTACTTGGAAAGCTTTGTTAAATTGTTGGGAATTGGATCTTCCGTGTGTAAACTGTGAAAGATTCTGACTATGATAACTGTTAATTGATGATAACTGTAACATTGTGTCTACTTTTTAAATCGCTTTTGATAAAATTGTCTGCTAAATGCATAAACACAAACTAATTGAGAGTACGCGCTGTCAAAATTGGTGACATTGTATTTGAGTTTTCACAAATAAAAGTGAAAGTGTGGGGGAGGTTTTGCTGGGTCAGCCACTGCGTTGTCTGCTTACGGACTTTGTCTAAAATGCATTCGTTTAACAGTATTCTCTGTGCCATTCCTCATTTTTACACACTCTCCAAGTCTCCCTTTCAGTTCCCTCACACACCCATTCCTTTGCCCTTTCCTCTGCCTTTGATGGTTACAGATCGGATATGAGCCAATTAAAGGGGCTGTGGGGGCTCTGGTGCACTGCGCTCCTGGGGAGACGAGGCAGATCACAGATTGATCTTTCATTAGGGGGCCGCGGCAAATGTGCCAACAAGGCACCTTACTCCTTTAAGTTCTCCTCTGGATCGTGACACTTCAATCTAATGTGTTTCTGGTAGTTGGTAGAAGCGAGCAAGGGAGAAAAAGACAGAAACAGTGAAAAGTGAAAAAAAAAAAAACTGAAACAAAAGAAATAGAAACTGGCCGGGATGGGGAGCATTCTGCAGCGAGGTGTATGGGCACCGAACAGAAAACTCTACGAAGAAATGTGGAAATGTGCCTGCCTGTATTCACGAGGTAAGCAAAGAACCCCAAATGCTGTTCACTGACTCCACTATTGGCAGTTACATGAATGTTTTCTGTTAAGTCTTTGTTCTTATTTTGGGGTCCAGTTCAGGTAAAAGGTAGTGCAGAGGTAGTGTGGGGGCCAGCATGCTAAGTGAGACCGTGGGCCATCTCGTGTATTTGACCTGCAAGGACGGTCAGCTGAGGGAGGGGAGCTAATAGCTGAGGGACGGCTCTGAGGTCATTAAACACAGAGACCGAAACATTGGCTGAAAAAACTTCCAACCGGGCATATCCACAGGGACCTGGCCCAGGTTCCACACACACACACACATATATATATAAAAGAGTAACAATATGCAAACTGAAATAATTCCCAAGGAAGAAAGGCAAAGTAATTGAAGAGCCGGTTACAGATGACTTCTGAGCCTGTGCAAGGTCAATCTTTAAGATGTTTGTTTTTTACACAGAGAAATTGAATTAGTGCAATTTAGTCCTTGGTAACCTACAAACATATCACCACTCAGACTTATGTTGTTTGAAAAACAACATAAAACTACATAAAATCTCTCTTCAAAACCCACAGATTTTGAAACATTTTTAGTCTTAACAGTGGGTCTTTAAGATCCCATACTCCCTTGGCTTGCTTATACATTCGAGAGTTATGTGATTTTTAATAAATAAATAAAAATCAGGCTGAATCTATGGTGTTAGCTATTTATTTATAGATTTTGTTCGTTGTTGAGATTCTTACAATCAAGTGATCCAGTTGACGTTTGTAAGTGACATTTTCCTGCTGATCAGGAACAATACACAAACTATTAAAGATAGAAAATCTTGCACAAACCTGGATTCCTGAACCTTCCGGAACCGTAATCTTCCACACACAGTTGAGGCTGTTCAGGTAAGGCTCGGGGAAACCAGGAGATAAGATGGTGCCAGTTCGTTGGGTCAGATTTCCTCCACATGGAACTGAAGGACAAAAGAAAAAGGGATGTTTTATATTTCACAAATGCAATTTCATCATGACTTCATGACGGCATCTCTGAGTAGGATCCCAGTCCACAAAGAACATCCTTGTACCAGACACCTCAGGACCCCACTTGTTGAGTTATGTCCACATTGTGACTGAAGAGAACTATTGGATCTATGAGGACCCAAATGAGTGATTTGGATAGTAATAACAAGAATATATATTTTTAAAAAGTTAATCTATGTTCACACAGAATGGATATCACATGAATCCTTAAGCAAATTAGAAAAAGATTTTAAACAAAAGCTCTTTCAAGAAAAAAATAAATAATGGAATGAAATTTTAACCAAACTTTAATCATAAAATCCCAACTGGAAGCAAGTTCCCTGAAGTTGACACACTGGGCATGACCAAACAGTTGAGCTTATATAAGAGGCCTCAGACAGTTTTGTCAGTTTCATGTACAAAATCCCATCTGCTGTCACCAGGAGCTCTTGCTTAATGCTCCGTTAAGGCAGCGTCTTTGTAAAAACAGCGCATGTTGACACTCCGTTTTGTCTGTGCATTTCCGTGTGCATTTGTGACCCTGAGCCGAGGGAGCCACCTGTGTGCTACATATCTGGATATCACTGCTATTGCTACAGGCAATGGTTGGCAGCCTGCATCTGTATCAAGAAAGAAGTCTGACACTCAGGGCGTCAGGCAGGAGCCAGACAAATATAGACAGAGAAATAGAAAGAGGGTGAGTGAGTGAAGGAAAAGGAGTAAAACTGAGTTAAAGCATGGGAGTGATCCAGGACATAAGAATACAAGTCTGTCTTTAAACTCCATATTTCTCCAAGTCTATGTTGTGTAATGGTGTCTTACCTATGCAGCTGGGTATGGAACTGTTCCATTGTGCCAAGGCATTGGGAACTGTTAAACATTCAATGGCACTTGATCCCTCCAGCACGTAACCCGGACTGCACTCAAAGCGGACCACAGCACCCACGGCAAAATTGTTGCCCATGCGACGGCCATTTCGAGGCTCAGGAACTGAACTGCACTGAGTGGCACTGGTCCGCGGCACAGCTATGGACAGAGAATCCGACAGATCGTTAAAAATGAGTATGCGGTCATGGATTTTATTTCAAATGTTAGAATGCTATAACTCCGAGATAAAAAGGCTACAGACACTTTACTTTTGTTCCAAGCTTCACCTTGAGTCTTTCAGAGGCACAAATATTCAGGTGCATATTGATGTTACTTAATGTGTCATGCATAAACTTCTAAATAATTTGAATCACTCTGTCTCAATGAAAGCTGTTGCACAAATTAAACTAAGTTATTTCTTTTATGTGATCATTTTGATGCAAAATAGATTTTACGGAATTCACATTTTATCCTATGGTTAACATACGATAAAATGCAAAAAAAAAAAAAAAAGATGAATTCATGAAATTGTCCAGTGCCAGTTTGTAACATATTTACCCTGATACACCAGATGGAATCCTTTCGAAGTGGACTGGCCTTTAGGAGTAAATCGGATCAGGATCTGATTGGATGTTGCCAATGGCAAGGATTCACCTGAGACAGGAAGACAATTGAAAACAAAGTTTGTGACATTCTTAGCATAGGTGTACCATTAATTCAATTTAAAGTGTGCAAAAACAGTGCAAATGTTACTAGAAGCCCATCCTAGTAATACTGCTGCTGGATTAAAGTGCAAATGGAAAAGGAAAAAGGTAGTACTGGGAATCTGAAAAAGGAAAAAAGGTCACCGAAATTGGATCTGTTTTGGTACATTTCTCATTGACTGGAATCCAAGAAAATATCTGATCGGTCTTCTGAATCTTTTGTTGGTTTGAAGCTGAGCTCTGCATTATTAGAATTTCACAGAATTGCCCGCTGTGATGAAAGTCCAACACGTTCCACTTCACCTCTGTGTTGTATTGGTGCCTGAGGAGTTTTGAGACAACTTCTTTTTTTTTCATTTTTATTCAAGCAGTTTGCTCAGTATGAAAAAAAAAGCATGAATATCCTTTATGAAGAGTGACATGCAAAACCACTTTGCCGTGCCTGATCGATCTAAAGTGGCCAGCTGTGTTTCCACATGGTCAATTCTGCAATTTTACATATGTGACTATATGTCATCGATATGAGCCACAGAGGAAGAGCAAATTTAGCAATGAAATACCAATCAATTCAATGACACAGCTATGGCATGATTTGTTCTACTCTGGGAGTGACTGATCCTTGATCTTCGTCAGGGCGTATGCATAAATCTGTCCAAACCATCTAGTCAACTAAAAGTAGTCAAAGATGAGAAACATTAACTAGCGGAACACAATAGAATGTGATGAGCTTTTAAAGAGATTTACGAGTGGGTAGTATCAATAATGACTGTACAATAAGGATATATGCTCCATATGTCCATATATATCTCCATTACTATGATTTGCTCACAACTCGGTACAAAAAAAGCCTTTTAAAAGAGACAACATTAGGAACACTATTATTAGTATGGATAGGATTGTGTTGCAGACACAGCTGAGCCTGTACAGAATGTAACATTCTGCAGTTCATGAGATGCCACAAATGTACAAGTCTGACCTTTTTTTTCTTTAACGAATGTGATTCCTTATAATGTGTACTATGTTGTAACCATTCCACATGTAATTCACAGTATTCAAAAAGAGCAGATTATTATTGGAGTTATATTATACATATATTATATATATATACATATATAATGCACACCATTTCTTCACCATAACGCCTCAGTGCCTTTGTGAAGTTGCAAACTCTTTACAAAATCTTGATACAAATACAATTTAAAAAAGACAAACAGTGTTACAAAATGCAGAGAAAGATGAATTAAAGATCAAGGAACTGTATGAGGTAGATTTTTGTTAATGATACTAAAATAATTGCACAATGAACATTTGTCTGCGACTAAGGTGGACATTTCTAATTATACATTAAATACCCAGACAGAGGATATAAATAGAGGATACGATCACTGAATTTATGATCTCTGGGAATCTTCATCAGCTCGTGGTGTAATTACAACAAAATCCCATGATAAATCTACCGTGGTGGAAAATTTGTTGACTGACGTAGAACACGATACAAAGTGTGAGCATCTCTGTCTCTGTCTTTCTCTCAATGAGCTGCTGACTGGCTCTCTGCAGTGAATCTCATTACTCTGTGTCTGCTTGCCGTCACACTCTAGTGGGAGGCAGACGTGCTTAACCCCAGAGGCGGCATCTGTGTGTGTGCTACTCCGTCTCTGCCGAACGTGTAGGTCTCGCTCACATTTTTGACGGGCTTTTTTTTACATGTCCCGTCCTGAGACAGATTTGACGATCTCTAATGTGTCATCAGCGTGATTGCTGGAGTTTCTCTATAGGATCCCCAAGGCGTGCTGGGTGGTTTATTAGAGGAAGCCGGTTCTACATGCTGTCATGGTGACAGTGTTTCATAATTTGCTGTGCAGTGCAGGTATTCATCCAGATAAACCAAACACATGCCAGCGTGCAACTTATCAACCCACTGGCAGCGTTCCAGCTCCAAACCAGTTTGCCCTTAAAATGATCTTCCATGCTGCCTTGCAAGGGTAAATGTCACTTTGGCTGGAAGTCAGTGACCAAGATTAAGTGGCAGCTGATGGTTTGAGCCAGTTAACATACAACCGCCATAACAAGTAATGTCAAAAATGTCTACTTCAACATTTAAATGGCAGCTTTGACAGGTTCAGTGTTTCAAACAGCTATTCATGTGTAAACAACAGAAAGGGGATTTTAGAATCTAAATGTGAATGGTCTGGATGTTTTTGCAGCATTCTAGTGAGGAAACTGAAGTAGCAAAAGCATAAGAGTTTCTAAAGTGGTCAGAACTTAATGTTCTCTGTCTCCGGTCCTAAATGAGCATGAGAGCAACAACTGAATTATTTCAAATGAGTTTGGAAATTTGCATTTAGATAAGTCTCCTGGATTTTTTTTCCGTTTTGTGCAGTCCTCTTGTCCAATCTGCCTACTTGCTGGTGCCTTTTCTAATTTTCATGTTTTATCGATCATTTCTCCGCTCTTTTCTTTAGTCTTAAATTATTCTGTTTACCACCAGGTTCTTACAATTATCACCTCTTGCTAAATAAATGGAGCCTCACATGAATTAAAAAAGGAAAAACACACTCTTTAATTAAACTAATTTTGTATAACATGCTTTGCTAAGACAATGTAATCACAGTAAAGAGCCTCATGTTTCAACATCTGTGGTTTATTTTGCCTGACAAATACAGTCATTCCATCTGCTGAGAAAGTCATTTTCTAAATTGGACTGAATGGCATATATAAGATATAAAAAACAAGGGTGATTATTTTATTAGTAAGCTTAGAATTATGTGCTTCTGGAAAGAAAAACACACTGGGTTATTGTTGTTAAAGGACCACTTTTCTGGATTGTGGGTAATTCATGTTAGATATGCACTATTTCAGTGGTGCAGTACAGCCGGTGAGTCTGTTTTTTTGGGGGGGGTTTGTTTTTTAAGCCAAGCTGTGTCAGCTGAGCTCTGGATAGATTGAGTCATCAGTTAAAGCCATCAGTTAATATAGAATCCTATTTGTTCAGCAGTAAACTTACGTTTGGGAGCTGGCCCTGCACACAAACCAAAGCAATCATCATCTTGCTTTGTTAAGTCACAGAGCTGGAGCAGGATGACATGGAAACTAACTCTCCCTCACCTCATCTTAAAAGACTGAATATCTTTTATGATGCATGATTCAGTTATATATATATATATGGGGATGCAAAATTCTGAGTTTTCGTGGATTTTAGATGGTAAATAATTCTAAATTTTGACCTTGTATTTTCTCTACTGTTGAGGTTTTTACATTAGAATGTCAGGATCGACAGTTAATGTATGTTGATGGTGTCCCAATATCAAACAGTCTTAAAACAGCTTCTTTTTTTAAAAATAAAATGTAACATTTAACCTGGTAAAGAAAGACATCTTCAGCTAACATCTACAACATTCAAAGTTGATATTGAATTGGAAGAAGAGGGTTAGGATTTGCCACATCATGTGTGCTCTAGTACCTGTGTGTGCTCCAGAGAGGGAGCTGAGCACACGGGAGTGTTGCGTTGCCCCATCATAAACCTCGACGATGTCATTCAGCGCTGTCTGGAAGAAGGCAAACTGACTGAAGACCACTGAGAAGGACAGACAAAGAAAAAACGAACCGACATCAGATGAGACTGAAATTAGCTGAAAACACTTCAAATAATTTGAAATGACTCCACGGCTATCCATGGAAAAAGTGCTTTGTGGCATCCTCATTAGAACAAATATCATCAACATCACTTTCAATCACAATATCCTCCTTAACGAAGGGCGGATGATATAGCGTGTTATGACAACAAAGCACAACTTAGAAATGTGGGTGAGATCAGGGATCCTGTCTGGGGTTGATGGTCTGTCAGTAGATGAAAGCCTTTGTGGTGACAAGCAATCTGTTGTACAATGTGCAGCTAAAGCTTCACTGTAAAGCTCTCATCCTTTTAACCCACTGTCTATACTGCCACTGCTTGAACAGTCATCCACCAATCACTGGCAATGAATTTCTTGTTTACTTATTGCAAATGCTGCCATTTAATGTGATGAAGACAGAAAGGGAGAATAGACATGTGGAAGGAGAACTTTGGCATAGTGCTCTGTATTAGGAGCGATTTTGGAATGTCAGTGTATATATTTAAGGGAACCATCTATGATTTTTTGCTCACTTTCAAAGATTTACTTTTCCACATATTTGTTTCATATGCTGGGGATGACACATATTCTGTCCTCTTGACTGCTTCAAATATCTAGTCATTACAACTGGCCCATCTGCCTAATATTAAGTTCTAAGAATGGAAAAAGAGAGCATTTGTAGCCTGCATAGCAAAGCGATTGTGTTAGGTCTCATAACAAGAAGGGACTGGTACCAAATAGTTTTGGAACAGGATCTCTGTTAGGGGACCACTTATTCAATATTCAAAATACTTAGATGTAGTACCCCAAAGCCAAATTCAAGCAGCTGCTTTCTGGTGTGATTTAATTGTGGTAGGAGCTTTTCCAAGAAAGACATGGTGCTAATAACTCATTAAAGAAAGATAAAGAAGCAGGAGATGAAAATCTCCAAAGTCCAAAACAAAAAGTGGGGCCCAGATATATTTGGCAAGTACGGAAAGCATATTTAGTATTTACATATGTAAAAAGTCATACTTCTGCATTGTTTCACTTCATAAATAATTTTATGCTACTCTTATGCCAGATAACATATTGGAAGCACACTGTGACCTTAAAGATAGAAATCCCCAAAATAAGTGAAATTCCAAGAAATCCATTTCCTCCGGATGCAAATTATTTTTTCAGTGTCTTTCCATGCGTGTGTGTAGAATGGTGATTAAATCCCACTATAAGAATAATCAAATAGATGAAAACACATGGCAATCAATCATGTGGATATGAGTCATGATGCGATTTTACTACGCGTCCAAAAAGATGAGTAAAAACAACATATTCAGTAACCATGTTTCAAAAGATGCTGTCCGTAGCTGCCTTTGACAGTATAATACCAGCCTCTTTTTCGTACCAGCTTCTGAATGCCTTGCCTGTCACTAAAATATTCAGGTGAGGGGGGAAAAAACATATTTTTTCCTCTCAATCTTTTTAGCAGTGAGAAAAAAAATAGTGTTCATGCAACTAGTTCTTTTGGACTCTCAAAAAAATCAGAATTTTTAACCTTATTTAGACAACAACCCATCCACTTTTACGCACACAAATAAATACAATTAACCTTCCGTCATCAAAAACATTAGAGTTGCAGTGGTCATGTTTTGCTTACCATAATCCTTGGGCACAACTACAGAGTACAAACAAGTCCGAGAACTGCTGTAGTTTCCAGGGTAACCAGGAGACAACACCACTCCTTCTAATCCAGAGTATTGTCCTCCACAAGGAGCTGAAGAGAAACACAGGGGAGAGAAATTAAGAGACACAATAAGTAGGTGAGGGCGGAAAAAAGAAAGGAAGGTCTAAAGTCAACAGTGGAAGATTCCATTTCTTTGCCGCCTTCTACTTTTCCATCGCTTCTGTTCCATCACTCCTAAATTACTTTTCTTGTCTGATTGGGCTTTGGGTGGAAGATGTCCCAAGTGGTTGCCACAGGGAAATTGCCATGTTTTCCAAGTGTCGATCTGGGTTAGCCAGGACGAGATGCCGCAAAAAGTCTCCTCTCCTAAGATCCTGAAAATGATCTGTGCAAGCTCTTATCTTTGTGGAACTGCTAAATCATTTATATAAAGGGGTGTGTGAACAATAAGCATGTCTTACACCTGACAAATGCTGTCAGTACCAGGTTCTGGGCTGTCAGGGCTCCTTTACCAGCTCTCCAGGGGGTTTTCGCACAGCATGTGGTATTTGTGTGACGGGTATTTCGGAGAACAGTCAGAGTGATGGCGGTGGTGCTGTGAGCGTTAGATGAGCATATGCAAAATGGGGAGCTCTTTCAAAATTGCAGATAAATTAAATCCATGCGTACACATCATACCAAAACCCACACAGTTCAGCACATACATCTGTAGGGGAAAAAAAAACTCTGGAAATGTGACAGGATCATATATGAATGTTTGCATGTGACAAATCTATAAGCCCCAATGTGTTTTTTCTGCTCCTAAAATTAACTCCAGATGTCAGTGTTTACCAATGCAGATGGGTTTGGGTTTGTTCCAACTCGGCTTGCCATCTCCTCCCATGATGCAAGTGAGAGTTGAGTCTCCTTCCAGCGTGTAGCCGCTGTCACAGTGGTAGGTGACGGTGGAGCCCAGCTTGAGGTCTGTGCCCACCCGCGTCCCATTGCGCACTAGGCCAGGTTCGAAACAAGACTCCCTGGGGTTCTCTGTGGAAAGAGGTAACACAGCGGAAAATCAGTGACAGAGGAGAGCATGTGGTCTTCAACAAACTGTTTTCTGCATCGCCCTGCAAAAGTGATGCCCGCACCAGATTTTTTCTCCCCCGTAAGGTTAGTGATAAAACTGACTTTGTTGCTTTATGATTGTCTTTCTTTCCCCCCTCTTTCCTGCTGCTTAATGGTTTCCTTGTTTCAGTAAATATATCTCAGTGACTGTCACTTTTCTCTCTGGCTCTTGACGGTGGCCTCTCATCTGTGGCTACCGGTGTATGTATGGCTGTGGAGACAGACAGCGAGCTGATTGAAAGCGGCAAGGCTCTGGCCCAAGGTTTGCTGACTGTACACAACCACCTCTCAAGCACCTCTCTGCAGCAAACTGGAGAAGACAATGCGCATACGCAAGCTCTCTGTGTCTAGCATGCACACATATGTACGCACGTACCCTGCCAAACTTCCCTCTCACACACTCTGCATTTAAACACATATCAATCACCACCCTTGAGGTTGTAAGGAAGATGTCTCACTCAATTTATCACACTGTTGTAGTCGGGGGAATGTACAAGTGAGGGAAGGCCTGTCAATTTGGCACACTTCACATCCTTACAGCTAAAACAAACATAGGAAAAATGCCCAAAGCCATTAAGATGAATTTTAAACATGGCACACAGATCTGAGAGCAATCTTTAATATATGATGACTTGACACACAGAGGCAAAGGTGAATTAAACGCTTTCCCTCGTCAGGAATATTCATGCGTATAATTCAGTCAAAAACAAAAACCTCAACTGTTTCGGCTGTAAGCAGGTAAATGCAAATTTTAAAAGGGCAGAAAAAGAATGACGTTTAACATGCCGAAACATTTTAGAAGAGGCAACAGTCTTAACCCCATAGGAAATTTCCACAAATGTTTTGCGCATCATTATTTAGTTGTTATAGTCCCTCTAACTTAGAAATGTTTAATTAGACATGCCTTTATGTAATTGCTTTGCATTTAAGCTGCAAGATGTGATCTCTAGCCGGACAGCCGGCTGCTATTTCGAGCTTGACAGAGGGCCCGGGACAGGCATGCGGTCTGTCTGTCATTTAGGGCACCCGTTCAAGATCATGATCTGATTTTGACCTCAATTGTCCCTTGCTGCCTCCCCAAATAAAACAGCACACCTAAGAAGAGACAGTGAATCCATGATCTATGAAGCAGGCGTTAGGCATGGATGACCCCCGGATATAGGCTTGTTGAGAGAAGGTCAGTGGTTGAAGTGAAAAAGGCTGATTTAACCAACCTCGCCCTGAGACATTTGGAGGTGTGATGCAAAGAAAAAGAGGCATCATCTGTTGGATCATGTACAAATACTCAAAAGGGATTAAGAAATGTGATTTAATGTAATATGAAAATTACCCAGAAACCGGGTGAACATATTGGATCAGACAGATGTGAGAACGAATGCAGTCATACAATGTGGGTATTTTTTTTCTGTACTGGTTGTGCTCTTGCATTTGTCTGTATGGGTTATTCAAATGTGGCTCAGGCACGGGAAGTTTTTAGCCCATACATTTCCCTCGAGAGCTTAGTGGAGCATGGTCAGAGATGCGGTAACAGAAAGACAAAGATTACTGGGTAAAGAGGCTGTCAGCACCTCAGGAATATTTCATAATGCAATTTCCAGTGGCGGCTGACCAAACACTGGCGGGGCCAACTCGTCAACTTGCCGTTTCCTCACCAAACAGAGCCAAACTCGGCCAAACGTACGTTTGTGCCATGTTGTTTTTTTTCTGAAACTGAGGAGGTAATTTATGTATTATTTGGTTATGGTTCATTAGTGTGGAGAATTGGAAGTGGGGTGAAGTAGTTTTTCTGAGCCACACACTGGGTCCATCTGCTGTACCAGATTGGCCATACAATACCACACACTGTATCAGACACTGCAGTGAAAATAGCTGGGAGACAATAAAGGAGAATGCTTTGTAACACTAACACTGTTTACTTCCATTCGTGTACAGTTTGCCAATGGACCGGGGTGTTTAATTGTACCAACAAACAGATTTTTTAAAATCAGGTCAATTGCTTATGAAGATCAAATCCTGAAATCTGTTTCTGAACAACAGCCAAGACACAGAGAGCTTGGGGTCGATCTGGAATTGGTTAAATGTCTGTTACCTTAAACAGCTCTAATTGAGGCTGAGGGATTTAGAAAGATTTCACACTGCTCCCTGAAGCAAAGCCCTGACCAAAGATATCCTGTTTAAAATGTAGCTTGTTCAGCATCTTTTATATATGTCAGGGGAAGGTTTTAACACATAGGCGACTATTTGTTAACACATGAACAATGATGAAACAGAAATCCACAAATCCATGATTTGTTTTGCCATCATTACAGCAGGGGCCCTCTTTAGGATGCCTGTGATCTCTCTGAACCATGTTTGCTGTACAGTACAGCGTACACGGTGCAGAGAGCGTCTCATGTGCGCACATAAATTCAGATCCTCCCGACAATTTGCCACGGTCAGCCAAGCTTCAACCTGAGACAACAAAGCACTGTTACCTCTAATTGATCAAAAGCCTTTAGTGGAGCCATGATGATCAAAAAGAGCTTAAGCATGTATGCCGTCAGCTTTTAATTTTCCTCGTTCCCCTGCTACTAGAAGAGGTACACAACTCACAACAATGACGCCAGAGCAGATAGTGATGCAAATGGGACAGTAGTGATCAGGATGCAGCAAGACAGCCGCATTCTATCACGCAGGGATTTTTCACTCCACTAATCACACTTGAGTTGGACGACACACAGAAGAAAGTTAAGAAGAAACAATCTGCAAGGTCGGTAAGCAGGAGAGGGGTAAATCCTTTCTCACTCTGCCAGAAGCACGATCTTAAACCGTGAATTGTTCAAGGGATAAAGCCAAACATCCTATTTAAAATTCACAGTTTTGTTCCGAATCTTAAGATGCAGGAGATGAAAAACATTACAGGGGAAACTCACGGTGACACATAGGAATAACATCCTTGTTTCATCCAGGTGCGCAGTTTTGTTCAAATAATGAAAGGTGCATACCTGTGTATTGCAACACAAATCCGTTGCTGCTGAGGGAAGCATCGCTGCGGAAAGCCAGGAAGAGTGTGTTGGAGCTGCTCTCAATACGATCTGGAACATCTATGCCATAGAAACTACCCAACAAGGGGCTGAGGGAGTCTGGCCCATCGTAGATATGCAAGAAGTCATAACTGGGCTCCAAGCTGAACCTGCATATAAACATTCATATCAAGCAATAATCAGAATATTGACTGAAATCTTTTATCTTTTTTAGAGAAAATACATGTGTTGCCAATTTTTGCAGTAGCTTACTGGTTGAAGCTAAGCGAAATGACGTAGTCCTCTGTGACAGTGACTGTCCAGTCACACTCCCTTCCGTGTGGGTACGGCTCAGGATAGTCAGGAGACAGTATCAGCCCACTTGGACCTGTCAGGTTCCCGCCGCAGGGAGCTATGAAGAGGAACAATTCTTAACATCCAATGCAGTGAATCTAACAGGTCATTTTAACAAGAATTAAAGAACCCAGTTGATAAAAAAAAAAAAAAGTTTCACTCTGGCTACTAATGGAAATATCACATTGTTTCAAGAAAAAATTCTACTTAGATATTCTGAATTGAATATTTCAGTAGAAAAATATCACAAAAAGAAGAAATTAAGCCACACTAGAAACTAGGCAACAAAGTGAAAGAACGGGAAAAAGCTCTCAATTTAAAATTAGCTTAGTTTCAACCATTATTTCCAGTCACCTCTGGAGGTTATGTGTGGTCTGATTTGGTTTCACCTGCTGACATCATCAGCTGCAAGTTTCAGAGTTTCTCCATCTCTCACTCAATTATTTCATTCAGCTCAACACTCATTAAATAAGGCAGAATCAAATCAAAGGACATTCAATGCTACTCTTATTAATTCACTTTATTTAATAGAATGCAATGATATATTAAGAAAAAAAAACGTTCTGAGCTATATAGATTCGGAGATGCATATTGCTCCTGAGAAACTGAATATCAGATGTCTGTCTGCTGCATTCATTTCAGGGAACAAAACAATCTGGTTTGCCTATTAAAATTTACTTAAGGAGTCCGTTAAGCAATCAAATTTAGAATCTGTTATGGTCTACCTGTTCTGAAAGACCACAGCCGACTTTGTTCAACAAAATATACAATATGTAATCTTCAGGAACAGTTCTTCCTTTTGTCACCAATGCTTGAGAAAGTAAGTTTTCATCAAGTAGAAATGGTTAAAAAACTGTTCAAAGCTAAGAAATACTGAAGGCCAGAACATGGCTGTGATCAATATGACCGTAGCTAAGCAGCATTAAGTATTATTTGTCAGCAGTGGTAAAAAAAAAACCCTGAGATTAGCATTGTAGCTAATCCGTAAAGGATTTGGTTATAATTAATGACATGTTCAGTTTGTAGAAAAACCTGTGCATGTAGGAGGGTCTGGCTGCCAGAAGAAGCGGCCGTTGATCTCTGTGCAGGTGATCCTGTTGGCCCCCTGCAGGATGTAGCCAGGATCACACTGAAACGCCACATGGTCCCCCGGCTCCCTGCTGTCCCCGCCGCGGGTCCCATTAGTTGGCATGCCCGGGTCGTTGCAGGAGGTTGCAGTGGATACTGACGGGACAAACAAAGCTTGATCAGTGAATGTGGAAAAAGGTCAAAAGTGCCACCTTGCACAAAAAAACAAAAAAAATCAACAAAGAAAAAATATATCACCAGAAAACTGCAGAGCAAAGCCTTGCTTGCTGGTGAAGAAGTCGGTGGTAAACTGCAGAGTGACAGTGTTGAAGGTGCTGTGAGCATCAGGGGGCAGCGCTGAGCCACTTAACTCCCTGAGCAGGACCCCTCCATCCTGGGGGCCATCCCAGATGCGGAGGACATCGTGAACCTCCTCCGTGTGGAAAACCAGGAAATGCAGACTGTTAAAAAAGCCAAGACAGGATACTTTAGTGATCCTGACTGGTGACATTTGTTACTCTTGCTGCTTTTTAAATCTTGCACCTTCCACAAAGATCTTTTAGAAACCAAAGTCAATTTTGAAAGATGTAGCTTCTTCCTAACTAATAAATACATAGTTGCACAGGTCCTCTTACATTTTGGTTTGTGAGGTTTCTCAAGGAAATAATAAAAGTTACAACTTTAAATAACTATGTATATATCATAACTATAATCTATAACTGTTTATTTAATCTTTCCATAATCTTTTGATGGAGTCTGAGTACTTAATTAGTTGTACATTACTGTGTAAATGTAATTAGTCAGTCTATGCACACAAGGTAATATGATTAAAGAAGACAATACAGAAGGGATTAAGAAAAGCATTACAGTCAAGTAAAAAGAGGTGAAACAATAATATTTAAAGGTGAATCATAGACACCACATCCACAACATTCAATGGATGTTCCACAATGTCAGTCAAGCTGATACGTCTGGCACAAGATTTTATAGCCTAAGTCTAGACATCAGAAATATGATACTGTCAAAATATCTCCCCTTCACTTCGGCTTAGACAGCTGTCAGCCAGCTGGTGGTCCGATCGATGTGAAAGGCAAAACTGCTCTATGAATGTAGGCTGGTTGGTGTAAATGTGCTATCTTTCATAGAACAGATTCATAATGATATATCGCTTAGAGATCTGTGTTTTAGCATGTTTCAGCATATGTTTAGAAAAGGCTCAGAGGGACAAAAGGGATAGCAAGTGCTTCTGAAAATTAAACAAAAAAGAAAGCTAAATATTGACAGAAAACCTTTTAAAAAATGGTTATTCAGAAAAGATTCTCAGCAGCTCTATCCTGCAGCAAACAACAAATACGAGAATAGGACTTAAGTAATTTGAGAAGTGATTGTGGGTAATGAAACAGAATTGTGTTAAAGCTGATCTTTTACCTAAAGTAAACGTGTTTGTCACAGTTTTTTAATCTTCCAGTGACTTACAGTTAAGGACAATATCTTATGTGCGTCTAAATGTTTATCGTGATAAAGTGACATCTGAAAACAGATTACCAAAGATATACTAATGTGATTCCATGACATGAAAATCTGTTTAAATGTTGCACCAGGTTAATGTTCCATCACAGAGTCATCATAATAAATGTAATAAACAATTGTAATAATGATAACAAATGTTTTTGTCAATATTTTCGGCAAAGCCATTTCTGTACACTGTCCCCCACATTTCTGAGAAAGCATTAGTGTTCCAAAATATTCTTCTCTCTTCAAAAGCAAGCCAGTTTTACAAACTGTTAGTCATCTAACTTATACAGAAACTTAAGATAAGTTATCATAAATCTGTCAAATAGAGGTTTCCCAAATCTACCTTTAATTCAATGAACTGTATGCCAATGAATTCCCCAGCCATCCAGAAGATATGTTGGTACTTTACGAAGCTTTAGTATCCTCATTCTACTACACACACACACACATACGCAGACACACACACACACACACACACACACACACACAGAGACATACACACACAGCCTTGAGCTATAGATGATGCAAAGGAGAAACAGCAACCCACTGATGTGCCGGCTTTAGCTACAAGTCCCACCGTTTCTGTATAATTGGTGTCAGACTCTGATCCCCATACTGTCTGATGTGAGCGCAGCAGCCTGTGGCTATTCAACAATGGCCTTACTGTGTGGAAACTGTATATAACCTATTTGACAACTCATGTCACAATACTTGTAAATGAAATGCACATAAAGCAAAGGGATGCAGATAAACGGATTGGCAAATCCACTCATAAATGCGCACTGGAAGGTGTTTCTAAAAGCAACGCCGCGTTACGAGACCTGCTCTATTCGTTCTAATCGGGGAAATCCGCACATCCCGTTCCTTTTTGGGCTGCCTTAAGTGCATTGATGAAAATGTATTAACATACAGAACAGTAATCATTTAAATAATGGTAAAAATCAAATTGGGAATTAAAATTGGCCTTTAAAAACACCTTCCTCAGCTGCAGGAGGAAGGTGTGGGGAAGGCTCAGGGGAGCAGTGACGGGTGTGTGTGTGTGTGTGTGTGTGTGTGGGGGGGGGGGGGGGGGATTAGCACACCTGGAATTAGTTGGCTAATCACTCTCCCCTCGTTAAATCAGCGGCGCGCTGGACCCGGAGAGGCACGAGGAGCTGGCAGCAGAGCGGGAGACAGCCGGGCCCAGCTCAGAAAAACGTGCACGCGCGTGTGTACGTGTATATGTCCAATAAAATACATAAATCACAAACCAGGTAACGCAAATCTGTTAAAGCACCCACAGTGGCTTAAGCTTTCCACAAAGCTCTAGCTCCATGTCTGGGTCAGTTTGTGGTAAATTTGAAATTCTGTTTTTGAAACAGTAATTTATTGTTTGGTCTGCAACCCAACTATGAATACGCGGTATAGATAAAGGATGAATCTTTTGTCAATCTTTGTCATTCTCAAGCACAGAAAATATATATTTTTGACACCCCCCCGCTCCCCCCGAGTGTTAAGTATCAAATGGCATCATGTTGTGGTTCCAGATTTATGTACTCAATGGGAAAAGGAGAGGTGGGTGGAAAGGAAAAGGTTGAAGGAAAACAGAAGGTGGAGGTAAAAACAAAACAAGACCAATGTTAATAATTGCTCAGTTACAGGATAGAAAAAAGATGCTAAGGGAGATGTATCGTTAGTGGTCAGATGGAATGGATGGATGTTAACTACATGTTTTTATAAATTGGTTCTTTCAGGAGAAAATATGCAAAAGCGCAGGAAAAAAGAGGAGAGAAAACGGCAGTCAAAAGCATGGAAAAGTGCATTTAGAGATAATTCTTAACTTTGAATAAATGTTTGGGTGGCAATGCAAGGTTGATGGTTTGGGTATAAAAGATGGATTAATGAAATCACAGAAGGAAGTTAAATTACTGTACATATCACTAAGGGGAAAGGAAACTTTAGTCTCTGCATGCGGTAAACATTTTGTAGAATCAGAGGAAGCCATGTTTTGAAATATAGGGCTGAAGGCTTTCCTTTGCACTTTGTCCCCTCTTAAGAAGATAAAACAGTTCATCAAGTGTCAAAGGAATCGCCGCGAGGATATGAGATGGAGAAGAGAGAGATGGAAGAGATTTTTCTTTAGGTTCCTTTTTTTGATTCTGTCTCAACTATTTTGCATTCATATGAGAGAAACGGAGAGAAATGGAGAGTGCTGAGACCCTCTCATATGAATACAAAACAGTGTTGCTGCAATCTCAAGTCCTGTGAGGAGTCAGAGTAGGTGTATGTGTGCATGAAGATTATAAATAAGTAAGTATGCGGGGGTGCATATAGATATGTGTTTGGTTTCAGCAAAAAGTCTGTTTTAAAGTTTTATGGGACATGCCAATTCTTTGAAGATCTTCATAAGAAGGATGT